GTAGTAATTATCAGAGTAAGTTATGCAATAATTGAATGAATGGTTTAACTCTTAACTCAATACCTAGTATATAACCAGCATACACAGCACACATGACCAAAAGTAATATAATGAAAATCTGTTCATATTTAGAATTTTTGATCTGTTGACATGTTGCAATATATTTAATTTTCACATAAAAGTTTGAATAGTACAAAATGCAAGATTATTTAGCGTTTAAATCCTTTACAATTTTTATAGCATTAAATGTGTTTTTGCATGTTCCCTCTTGCTGGCAAGAATAGGAGGGGTGGGAAGGGTGGGTGGGGTGACTGGGGTGACTAAAGGTGATGTAATTTAACTTTTCATGCCATTTTACTGAAAGATAAGATGCCTGTCTCATGTTTGTGCTGGCTAGCCTTGAAGCTCCATCATCTCCAGATCAACTCTGCACTTTAAAATTTGCATTTTAATTGGAAATATATATGTTGTCTGGCTTCTCTTAAAAATGCTCTGTGGACTCTTCTTCTAAGTGACATTCTAATAATCACTGGCTGCTCTGAAGCACTTCAGCTGGCCTGTGCCTTTCTTGAACTAAATGTTTAGTCTACTAAATGGTACAGTTTTCATTCTGCTTTTATTATATGGTAAATATCTCTTTGGACATTTTTTTTCCTGATTAAGCTACCATCATTTAAAAGACCACTAAGAAGACCTACAAACATCAACTTATTTGAACAGTTTTATATAAGCAGCCACCTCATTTCTATAGAAGACAGAAGAGAGATTGTGACTGTCCACACCTTCAAACTTCACCTGTAGGCTGGCCAGTGCGGAAGCTGGTCAGACTGCTGGAGGCTGATCCATTCATCCTCGCAAATCTCACTGATCCTTCTCAGCTCCACACTGACCTGTGACAGAGGAGTAAACACGGTGCTGTATCTCCACAGTGTGTGGAACTCAAAGAATGTGTCTGCCGTAATGGCCACACCTGTTTGGAGGTGTTAGTGTGGGTGCTGAGACGGCTACTCTCGTATTTGCTGGTGGTGAAATTTGTAAAGCTTAGTGTTTGGTTATGAGCAGGAAGGTTTGTGTGTGTGTGTGTGTGTGTGTGTGTGTTCTTGTCTTGGGAACCATGGCACAAAATCAACTGTGAACACAAGTCCTCACAATGATAGGACATCACATTTTTCCTCAAGTGAGGACATTTTGCTGGTCCTCGCTTGAGCATGTGTTGTTTTCATCACAAAATACATTTTTTTTGGAAAAACTAAAAGAGCTTGTTGGTTTCTGAGAAAAATTGCCTGTTGGTTTCTGAGGTTAAGGCTGGGGTTAGGTTTAGGTGTAGGTGTAGTATTATTTGACTACAGTAAAACAAAAATCAATAGAAACTAATGGAAGTCCTCACAAGTATAGCAAGACAAACACATGTGTGTCTGTCTATGTGTGTGTGTGTGTGTGTGTGTGTGTGTGTGTGTGTGAGTGTGTGGGTGCAAATATGTGTCTCTCTGTGCGAGTAATCTGTTTTACTCTCTTAATTAAAGACCAGATGTCACCACAATGATTGAATAACATGAAAAACTTGTCATTGTAGGGTATTTTGCATTAGGAAAATCTGACATGTGGGGACATTTTAGGAATATATAAGTATTCTGACATTGTGGGGACATTTTAGGAAAATGTGGAAACATTTTAGGAAAACATAAAACTGTGGAACACTTTGGGAAAACATGAAAATTCTGATATTGTGGGAATGTTTTGGGAAAACATAAAAATTCTGCCATTGTGGGAACGATTTAATGAAAACATGAAAAGTTTGACATTGTGGGTACATTGGGGACACACATGTCCAGAACTAAAGAATGTCTTTGATCACGAAGATTAAGGTAAAGTTTAGCTTTTAGTGTGTATGTACATAAAAGTGTGTTTGTATTTACTTGTCTGTTCTGCAAATTTAGTCCAAGAGTGGATGTTTTATGTAGAAAATAAAATAAAAAATGAATGTTAAAAATATGAAAAAGCAAGGGAGGTTAGATACGGCTGAGGCAGGAGTGTGATACTCGCTTTAGATTCAGTTGAGCCACTGCCACTAAACACAGAGATACGACAGCCTCTTCCTGTAGCAGTAGAGGCTCTGATAGAAAGCTCTGTGAGGATACTGCCAAGATGAAAGTTGCCCAGTGCATTTAAAAGAGCTTTATTCAGGCACGACCGAGCCAGGGCCAGACAGGCAATTTTACACACAGGAGCCCATTATCACTGCATCAGCAGCACAATGACCGTGTTTTTAACTTAATGAGGATACAATTAATGCATTTTCCCTTCTGAATATACATATGGTGTCAATAAAATAAAAAACCTTTTATAATGAGAACATTTCCTTTACTGAGAGCATTACCTACTGTGAGCTATACATCTGTAGTGAAGGAAATCATGCAAACTGACATGCAAATTTATCAAGGACGCTGATGTCATCAAATGTTCAAAAATGTAATTCTTTGTGCTGAATTATTTCCCTTTATATTGATTTACAGGTGAAACATGACTGCTTTACTTCTGCTGTGTGTCTGCCTCAGTGTCGTCTCTGCATCAGTACTGTTTGGAGACATGGATGGTGAGCTAAAACGTTCTGAGTGAGCTTTCTGTTGGCAACCATGATGACTCAGTGTCTCTGTTATTTAGTGAACAGACAGGACATTATTCCTATAGTCTACACACTTAAAAATTATGGTTTTTCAAGGGTTCTTTAGTAAAGAAAATGGTTCTATATAGGGCACTCAAAGAGTGCTTTTGCAAGATTAAAAGGTTCTTTGCGTATTAAAATTGTTCTTCAGATTGATGGTAACTGCTGTAGATGGTTCTATATAGAACCTTTTTCAAAAGGGTTCTTTGTAGCACCAAAAAAGGGTTATATTGTTACGATGTCAGGCTTGTTCCAGAACCCTTTTTGGTGCTATATAGAACTCTTTTCAAATCTTATCATGCAACATTGTCTAGATTCACTCATCTGCTATAAAAATTAATTGACTTATTCTTTAGATTAATGTAGTCATTTTAGATCTATGTAGTCACAAAAAGGATGAACATGCACTGGGACAAACAAGTCATGAAAAGCATGACACACAAACATAGAATCTGTAAAAAAAAATGTCCCCAAAAAATAGAAAAATTTATCTTTCAAATGAACTGATTTAAAATTAATTGGCTCAAGTGAATAACTATATCTTCACAGTTTTTTAATGAGGTAATCTTAATAAGAAAGTCAGAAATTAATGTAACTCAAAATTTACCTTAAAATTTACCTTTTCACTCCATTAGTATATACAGTTGAATTATTGTCACAGCTTAGAAAAATAAACAATATCTTGTTAAATTGAATCTGGAAAAAGTCCTGGAACGTCACAGGTTGTAGTATAAGAACAGATAGGCCTAACTGTTTTGAGAAAATACATTTACAGAACAATGATGAAGAATGTTTTTGGTTCAAAATGACAGAAAATGCACTGTTGTAATTTAATTATTTAGTAACTGCTATGATTTTTTCAGTAATTACTATAAAACTAACCTGTACTTATGAGACTTATTTCCACAGTAAATCAACATACAAGGTCTTTCAGCTCAAGGGTTTTAAGAAAGTATAAGTGTAATTTGTCTTGCCAGACCAGGACAGCCCACTGGGCGTGAGCATCCCTGTGGAGCAGCCACTGCGCCCCCTGCTGGGCGGGAAGATGGTCATCCCCTGCTACTTCCAGGACAACACAGTCCACGACCCTGGTGCCCCCACCATCGCCCCCCTGTCCCATCGCATCAAATGGAGCTACATTCATAAGGGCCAAATCAGCCTCATCCTGGTGGCCACTGGAGGAGTGGCGCATATTGAAACAGATTATCTGGACCGGGTCACCATGGTGAATTACCCTACTGTGCCCACCGACGTCACCATAGAGATCACAGAGCTGCGCTCCAAAGACTCTGGGACATATCGCTGTGAGGTCACGCACGGCATCGAGGACAACTACGATTCAGTGGAGATGCAGGTTCAAGGTGCTGCTCCACACATTTCATAAACAGCAAAATGTCAAATTTTACAGTGATAAACTAACACCTCACTTAGTCTATAGAGGTTTCCAATCATTCAGCTCATTCAGTTATTTAGTAGTAGTAAGTTAAGGTGACTGGACATGAGAAACAATCTTAAAGATCATTAAAGGTCCAGTTACTTTGACTTACTACCAGTAGATTACTCTCTTATTCTTTTTTGGTTTTTATGTATATGGAAATACATTTTATGCTATATACACACTACAATTTCATAATGTTCAGATAGTTTGTAGGAAGCTGTAAAAACAAAATAAGATGTCAAGAATGATGAGCAGAGATGTAGATGATTTTAAAATGATTGAGAAAGGTGTAAAATGTTGAGAATGAAGTAAGTGATAAAATCTTGAGGCAAATAACTCAACAAAAAATGACCATAAACAATATATAATTAATCATTTATTAACTTCTTATTGTTTCCAGAAAAAATTAAGATATTTCAAAATGTGTGAATATTTGACTGAAATAATAAATCAAACATCTAAATAAACCTTCTGGTATGGAGTTTATAATATTTTAATCCACACTGTTTTATTATTATTGAGCAAAATTATAATACTTATTGACCCCACAGGCTTATTACATACAAGGCTTATTAATTCAATAACTAAAGGGATGTCAATGCAATCTGGTGGCCTTAGGTTATAGAAGTGTGTGATAAAACTTTGGGCCTGGACCATGTACAAGCTTAATATGACAAGTAATTCCAAACATTTGAATGGTAATTTCTAGCGGTGTAACGAATCACAAAATTCATAACTCTGTTCAAAACAATATGGTGGTGTCCCAATACAATTTAGCTAAAATAAGGAGTGCCTGAAACTCTGCCTTATAATAATGTTATATTTTTAGTAGAGCATTCAACTATAAAGTACAATATCTGAAACAAACGCAGTGCTTTGTAGTGTGTTGAACTACTCTAGCTACATACTAACATGCTAGTCAGGATAGTACATGCTAGTACAATACAATACATTGCACTATTACATGCCCAGTAAATTCTTGTTTCATTAAAGTTCTTGTTACTTGCTAGAGAGGGTGGAGCATATAAGATTTTGAGGTGGAAGTGTTTCTTCTCTGCAGGCATTGTGTTCCACTATCGAGCAATCACCAGTCGCTACACCCTGACCTTTGAAGATGCCAAGGCAGCCTGCATCCAGAACAGTGCAGTCATAGCCACACCCGAACAGCTGCAGGCTGCTTACGATGATGGCTTCCATCAGTGTGATGCAGGCTGGCTTTCAGACCGAACCGTCAGGTACTGTGTGTCCACCCATATGCTTTTACAAAGACTGTGTTGAGTGTATTTGCAGTTTTAGCACTGCTTTATGTCATTTTCTGAATGCTGTTACTTTCACTAAAATCAATAAAAAGTAAAACATGAAATAATCCATCACTGTTTAAGCCATTAAACATAATGCCTAACCAGACATGTATGACTCAAAAACTACTTTGACACTAATATGTTTAGGTATAGTATATGAGTGAGAAATTAAATGTGGGCTCACATGTATGCCCTAAGTGTTTAAGTTTATGAATTAACCATTATTAATATGTCCCTTAGGTACCCTATTCATGAGCCAAGGGAGCCTTGCTATGGAGACAAAGAAAATTTCCCAGGTGTACGAACCTATGGAATCAGAGACGATAATGAGACGTATGATGTGTACTGCTTTGCAGAGAAGATGTCAGGTAATCAAGGGATGTTAAAGGCATTGTTAAGAGGTAGAGGTAGTGCATTACTTGTGTTTTCACCCTGTTACTGTTCCTCTGTGAATTCTAGGCAGAGTCTTCTACTCTATGTCTTTTGAGAAGTTCACCTTTGCTGAGGCCTCAGAGCAGTGCGCCAAGCTTGGAGCCCGCTTGGCCACCACAGGGCAGTTGTACTTGGCCTGGAAGGCTGGGATGGATGTGTGTAATGCTGGCTGGCTGGCCGACAGGAGTGTGAGGTACCCCATCAACATCGCCCGGCCGCAGTGCGGTGGGGGACTCCTGGGGGTACGGACTGTGTACCTTTACCCAAACCAGACAGGATACCCTCTCCTGGAGTCCCGCTATGATGCCATCTGCTACGAAGGTAAGCACAGAGTCCTATTTCTATGATGTATAGTATTTTGTTAAAGAGGAGCTCCAGCCTAAACTAGCATCTAATATATTAATTGTCAGGTTGTGTAACATTCTGTAGCACAGCGCTGTATCCCTAAGCTGATGTAGCAGCTAGTAAATAGAGAAGTGATGTTTGGCTTCCTAGCAGTAACATTAGCTGTCTGGCTTCCTTCTGCATTAGCCAGCTAGCGGGAAAAAAATCAAAGAGCCTGTCCTCAAGTTCCCACCCCAAAGTGCTTGTAGATTTTCCAAAGTTCTTCCCACCAATGACACATCATCAGAAGGGGATTTCCTAGTTTTTACACTGGAAAAACTAATGTAATAAAGTCCATGCATGTTATCCACTTGTTGTGATGACAGCACTACACTCAAATCTTTTAGGAGTTTATGCCACGTTTGGGCCAAAAGCATTTCTGTATAAGCTTTTAACAATAGTTTGGAAAAAACTATCAAATTGTTTTTTAGGTGAAACCTGTTATTTATATATATATAACAAGCAAGATTGTAATTAAAAATCCACCGATTTTTCAAAAAGTATACATATTTAAATATGTAAATAAAGTCATTCAGAGTGGTTTAATGTGAAATGCTCCATTCTGGAGAAACTTACCGAGTCAGAATAGTTCACAGTGGTGGTGATAGGTACCAGATGCCTAAAGAGTTTAAAGCCTCTGAAAGTTACTAACAGAAAGTTATTACATGAAATGTTAGATATACGCTGCCTGATGTCTGACACACTGTTTTATGTTTGTTGTGTGATACGGTTTTGGCTTAAAATGTATTTTAATCCATTTATTTCAGTCTATTCACAGCAGAGGGATACATGCAGGGTGTTGTAAGGCAACATAGTCCCCAAAGAAAACTTATTTTTTCAGATTTATCACTATTTTACAATCATCAACATTACATATAAAAAACTCTGGTTCCTATCACCACCACTGTAAAGAAATCAGAGTCTGTAAGTTTCTCTATAGTGAACCATTTCTCTGAATGACTTTATATCTCAAGTGAACTGAAATGTTAAGAAACTTGACAGAAATTGCCTTTAACATAAAGCTGAGTGTTGTAAAATATATAAATATAAAATACATTTTAGCAAATGGCTGTCTAGTAACTCAAGTCTTTGCAGGTATTTTTCTTTCTTAATTAAAAAATTAAAAAGTAAAAAAGAGAAAATCAAATTTCAAAAAAAGGTGTCTCTAAAGTGTACGAGAGACATCTTTAGCACAATGCCAGAAAACTGTTGCAAGTTCTGCATGTGTTTTACTGCTCAGGAGAGGAGGAAGTACCCAGTCCACCAACCCCAGGGCCTGGAGTACCTATTCCACTGACCCTAGTGCCTGAAGTTGACATCACCACAGAGCCTGAGTTCAGCGTGGGCACTGTCACCTCTAGCCCCGCCGCCTATCCCGAGAATGTTACCAGTGAAGGGGGAGGCGCGAGGGGAGCTGGTCACTCGGGAGCCCTGGAGCACCACCACCATGGAGACTCCCCTACCGCTCCCTCCCTCCATTACAGGGAACATCACAGAGGAGGTGGAGGATGAGATCATTGTGGCTGCAACTCGGCCTAGTCTGGAGCAACCTGGAGACAATGTCAGCACTGGTGAGTGAGTGAGTGCATGTGGTTGGGATGCTGTGATGGCACTGTAAATACTGGAAAAGACAGAGATTCATTTGAAGTGTTATTTTAAGATCTGGATTAAGACGTGTTATTGCTTTACTGTCTAAACTGTTATTTTGCTTTGTTTTGTTTTAATCAGAGGATACATTTTACACAGCCCAGTTAACCAAGTTAGTTTCTGTATGCAGTAATTTTAGAGTAACAGTGTGAATACTGCCACTGCAAAACAAACCTATTTTCACTGTTTAACAATGTAGCAATTGTACAATGTAATTTGTCCTCTAAATGTGAGGGGCACTCATTACTCATTATTTCTTGGTTCATTAAGGAGTTCCTATTTAAGCTGCTGTGGCATCTACAAGTTATCTTCAGTTATAAAAGTGGTCTCTTATCATCAGTTTCTTTTAACATCATGTTCTTTAAATTTTTTCCCCCATAGTTCACTAACTTCTAATTAACAGACTCTTTCTTTCTCTGTTTCAGAATCTAAAGGAGTAGTGTTCCACTACCGCTCAGGGTCCAAACACTATGCTTTCACCTTTGAGGAGGCTCAAAGGGCTTGTCAGCAGCTGGGGGCTGAAATAGCCACCCCTGAGCAGCTACAGGCAGCATACGAGGCCGGCCTCCATCAGTGCAGCGCTGGGTGGCTTAAGGATCAGTCTGTCAGGTTGCCATTTTACTTTGTATGTTTTCGTATATCTCCAAATTTAAGAGTTAAGCCAAGAATAAACAGAATACAAGTTAATTAGGAAAAGCCAAGTTCAATAAAAGACCAGCAGGGGGAGCAAAAATGAACTATTTTACTCTACTGAGCCGCCGTGGTTTTTCTGCATTGATAAAAATGTAACTGTTCCAGGTGTGGTGATAAGTTACAGCATATTTTATCTTATCCTCTGAGCAGGTACCCTATCGTTCATCGTTGGTACAAATGCTCTGGAGATCAGGGAGATCCAGGGGTCCGCTCCTATGGGGTCCAGCCGGCATTTAAACACTATGATGTATATTGCTACATGGACCAAATAAAGGGTAAGACTATCATGCTTGATATTTTAAGCATACTTTTTTAAAGGTTAAAACAGGTGATGTTAATTAACTAAAATGTTCTTTCTCATTGTTTTTTAGGAGAGGTCTTCCATGTCAGCTCCCTGGCAGGCTTCACCTACTATGAGGCAACTGCTCACTGCCATACGCAGAATGCTATGCTGGCCTCCACCGGAGAACTATATGCCGCCTGGAGTCAGGGCTTTCATAAGTGTAGCCCAGGCTGGCTGTCTGATCGCAGTGTCCGTTACCCTGTTCAAACCCCACAACTCGGCTGTGGTGTGAATAAAACAGGAGTTCACACTATTTACACTAACCCTGACCAGACTGGATTTCCAGACCCATATTCCAGACATGATGCCTACTGCTTTAGAGGTATAAAATATAAGGCATGTCAATGTTCAAAATGTAAGACATGGGAATGCATCAACACTGAAGGATGCTTTTTTCTTTCCTAGCAAATCTGTCCATGATCATGACCGAAGATATGCTGAATGCCACAGGAATGGATTTCAACCTGACATACATAACAGAGCTTATAAGGCCTGGTATTGGCTGCATTAGATATATACGTATTTCAATGTGATTAAACAGACAAGTTGGAGTTTACTAAGTTTCATTATGTTTTTCAGCTCGTCCTCTTGTCCCTCCAAAGTCTGAGGAGGAGATTGGCTCTGGGTCAGCTTCAGCTGACTTCAAATCTGGAGATGTGTCTGGCAGTGGAATCCCCAGTGGAGATACATCTGGTGTTGGAATCCCTAGTGGAGATGTGTCTGGCAGTGGAATCCCCAGTGGAGATGTTTCTGGCAGCGGAATTCCCAGTGGAGATGTTTCTGGCAGCGGAATCCCCAGTGGAGATGTTTCTGGCAGTGGAATCCCTAGTGGAGATGTGTCTGGCAGTGGAATCCCCAGTGGAGATACATCTGGTGTTGGAATCCCAAGTAGAGATGTGTCTGGCAGTGGAATCCCCAGCGGAGATATATCTGGTGGTGGAATCCCAAGTGGAGATGTGTCTGGCAGTGGAATCCCCAGTGGAGATACATCTGGTGTTGGAATCCCAAGTGGAGATGTGTCTGGCAGTGGAATCCCCAGTGGAGATATATCTGGTGGTGGAATCCCAAGTGGAGATGTGTCTGGCAGTGGAGTCCCCAGTGGAGATTTGCCTGAAAGTGGAATCTCCAGTGGAGATGTATCTGGCAGTGGATTTCCCAGTGGAGATGTGCCTGGAAGTGGAATCTCCAGTGGAGATGTATCTGGTAGTGGACTCTCCAGTGGAGATGAGTCTGGAAGTGGAATCTCCAGTGGACATGTGTCTGGTAGTGGAATCTTTAGTGCAGATGTATCTGGTAGTGGAGATGTGTCTGGCATCACTGTGAGCTTTGAGGGGAGTGGATATATACTTTCAGCAGAGGGATCTGTCTCAGGGGGCCCTCAGGAAGCTGGAGAAGGGAGCGCATTCATTTTCCACCTTGCATCTGGAGACCTCAGTGGTGATCTTTCAGGATCAGGTGACTTCTCTGGATCCGGACAAGACAGAAGTGGTTCTGGTGATCTTCCATCTGGTTTTGGCAGTGGAGATGTGATCACCTTCATTGATCACCAACAGATTGACATTTCCACCTCACAGGCCAAAACAGAACAAGAGTTAGGGAGAAAACACTTTGAGGTGAGTGGATTCAGTGGACTCCACAGTGGTGACATCATGAGTGGGTCTGGCTTAAGTGGATTCCAAAGTGGTGACATCATGAGTGGCTCCGGAATCAGTGGATTCAAAAGTGGTGACATCAGTGGGTCTGGAGCCAGCGGATTCCAAAGTGGTGATATCATAAGCGGCTCTGGTTTGTTTGGCGTGTCATTTGTGGACTCTGATATGATTGACCTGACTACAAGACCTTCAGGAGAGAAAGAGGTATCTGGAATTTCTGGTGAGATGTCTGGTGATGTCAGTGGCTTTCTCTCTGGAGATGCTTCTGGAATGTCTGGGTTACCTAGCCGTCCATCAGGGGAGGACCTCAGATCTACTTCAGAGAGCGGGGAGGTCATCTTGCTGACAGAGGATGAGGTTATAGAAGTGACCTCCAGGTCTATTGAGAGCACACAACAGGGTCGTGGCTCTGTGGAGCTGAGTGGAGAAGGCAGTTCTCCAGTGGTTCACACAGAAGAGTTTTTCACTGTTCTGCCTCCTGGTTCTGTACTGGAAGAGGATATGAGTGGCAGAGACTTGGAGGAGGTTGATGACACTGAAAAATCACTTATAAACACCACCAGCACAACACAGAACACATTAACCTACACCACCTCTCCCACCATATTACTCCAGACACCAGCCACAGTGGAGCAGCCCACTGTCACTGAGGGTAAATATGTAAAACCAGCCACTTTTATTCAGTTGCATTAAATACATACACATAAGCACCAGTATACTTCATTGTATCCTGACTGTGTCTCCTAGCAACAGACCCTAACCCCTGTGATCCAAACCCCTGTGGTGATGGATCATGTTTTGTGCAAGATGGAACTGCGGTCTGCCAGTGTCCAGCAGGATTTACCGGTGAAGACTGTGGAACTCGTAAGTGAATATTGCTGTTGTATTTCAGTTTCCATTGCTAATGTAATCCAGTTAACCTCTAAGGTAAGTATTTTGTTAGTAATTTTAAAATATGCTATTCAGCTTTGTATTATAAATTGTTAATTAAAGGACCCATATTGACAGTAATGTTTTTTTTAAATGAAAGAGTTTGTTGTAGTATACAAACGTGGTCAAAGTTACTGTTATGTAACATTCACTCCCCACTTCATACTGCCCATATATATAGAAACTAAGCTGTAAAAACTGCTTGTTTTGAATTTTTTGTGACGTCACAAAAAAAAAGAAACAGCAATTTAGCTCCTCCCATTCACACTGAAGATATAAGGAGCATTTCAGCATAGTCTGCCTTTTGAACAAGGTTCAATACAAAGCAGCCAATCAAACAGAGGTCATTTACATATATTAGTCTTAATATACAGTAAATATAACAGTAACAAAAAAAGCCTAAGGGATTAGGTTGGAAATGGTTGAAAATTAAATATTGCAGTTTTTAGTACCCAAAACCTGCCCAAATGTTATATGTGATCCTTATATATATATATATATATATATATATATATATATATATATATATACCTTTATGAATATGGACATCCCTCTATGGTATAAGGGGTTAAAATCCTGAAAAAGCTTTGTGTGTTGACTTTGCAGCGGTACAGGGATGTGAAGAAGGCTGGGTGGAATTCATGGGCAGCTGCTATATACACTTCAGTGAACGGGAGACGTGGACCAGTGCTGAGCAATACTGTCAAGAGCTTAACGCTCATTTGGTTAGCATCACTTCCCAGCAGGAGCAAAATTTTGTCAACAGTGAGTAGAAAATTACATTAACAAAGATATGGATACAATGTGTTAGGTGAATTATTGCATTGCTTACTGTCTCTCTAAATCTCTCTAGCTCTGGCTCAAGACTACCAATGGATTGGACTCAATGACAGAGACAAGCAAAATGAGTTCCGCTGGACAGATGGAAGCTCTTTGGTGAAGCTTAGTTCTATTATAATTCAACTACAAGTAGATGATAACTTTATACTGACAAAACATTGCAGTGTAAGTTTCCAGTCCATGTCTCATTTTGATTATAATTTTTGATTATAATTTTTTTTTACAGCAATATAACAACTGGAGACCAAACCAGCCCGATGAATACTCTAACTCTGGGGAAGATTGTGTAGTAATGATCTGGCATGAGTATGGCCAGTGGAATGATGTGCCCTGCAACTACCATCTTCCCTTCACATGCAAAAGTGGATCTGGTATGTGACTCTGCAGAGAGGTTTTTTAGCTTTGGAGATTTTATCAGTACATTGTTTCAATTCCATAATAGTGTCTAGGATAATAAATCTGCACCTTCAAAACAATGTTTTTACTTAAATCCTTTCAATGTGCTCCTCCTCAGTCAATTGCCGTACACCTCCCGAGGTGGAGAATGCCAGGATATTAGGAACCAAAAGGGAGCACTACCCAGTCAACTCCATCATCCGCTACCAGTGCTACACTGGCTTCACACAGCGCCACCTCTCTGTGATACACTGTATGCCAGATGGCCAGTGGGAGGAGCCTAAAGTGGAGTGTGTAGGAAGTAAGTACATATTACCCTGTCTGACCTACACAGTAATCAAGCTAGCAAGTTACTCCTGTTGGTGGGCCTTTGAAAATATACTTAAAAGAACAGTTTGGTGACATATCAAATTTACTTGATGTTCTATTTACCTCAAATGTAGTTGGTCAGCTAAGACGTGTGCGGTGTCAAAATTGTACTTCTTTAGTTTAATGCTTTAGCTACAAGGCTAATGTAGTTAACACACACTAGAAATCAACAATCACCCAAATCCTTTCCATAAATACATCTCCAAACCCTGCACAAAAAAACAACAGAGACCAAGAGAACAGCAAGCATTTCATGCTGGTGTAAACTGGTCTAGTGCTGGTCTAGTTGTGATTTAGCTGGACACTTCATTGTGGTCATGCTGGTTGACATATGTTGACATATGTTGGTTTTGCTGGTGACATGCCAGGCTGGTCTATGCTGGTTTTTCCAGCCAGGAAATGTCTCTCAACCTGCTCAAACCATATCTAGCTCATCATTAAGTTCGCACAGACTTATCAGTGTGGTTTAGGATGCAGCATGACTTACTGTGAGCTATAAAAAGTAACAAAACTTCACCGTTTTGTTGCTACACCTGCTGGAATTACGTTAGATTCTGCATAAATTATGAATTTGGCATGAATTACGTTAGCAATTTCTGTTGTTTCTATTTTATAATTAACTGTTAATCTTACATTTTGAACTAAAAATATATGTTTATAAATAGAAACAACATAACCTCTTGTCTAAAATGGCTAGCCACAGCATTGGTGAAATTCTGTTCATTTTTATGGCTCACAGTAAGTCATGCTGTTTTCTAAACCACACTGACAAGTCTTTACTCTCTTTAAATCTTAATGAAGACCCAAAAGTTTTGAGGATGCATTTACAGAAAAGATTTGGGTGACTATTGACTTCCAGTGTATGTCATCAATGTTAGCCTTCTAGCTTCAGTGCCAAACTAAAGAAGCACAGTTTGGACACCAAACATGTCTTAAACAAGTGGACAATTGTGTGTTGTGTATTGCTGAATCATTCCATTAATAAGTCCAAAGAACATGATGAGCTTCAAACACTGTGAGCTGGGATCTAATACAGTCCAGACAAAACATTTGATTGCATGTACTCTTTATCCCCCCTTCAACAGACAATACAAACAACAGACTACGGAAAAGATCGCTTAAGTGGCATTCCAAAGCGGTCAACAGTCGAACATGGAAGAAGGTCCTTTAAACAGGACTCAAGGCCTGCACTTCAGATCATCTAGAGGACTATTGTTAGCAAAGAGCATCTCTACACAAGTCTTAATTGCCCTGAAGAGAACCCGTAGCCTCAGTAAGAGGGTAAACCTTATACAATGACGCACATTAGATTCTGTTCTGTAGTCCGCCTGGCTTATTGGTTTCCGAGTGTTACTCAGTGCCTTGCTGTTGGGGAGAAAGAAGGAACAAAGAATCTTGGTTGAGAGTTTGGTGAGAGACTGAATGTCTTCCACATTAATTGTTGACATTTTTTTGTTCTGAGGCAACCCAATGTCAAAACAAGATTTGAAGAACACTCTGAACCACACCATAAATCCATGAGCGGGTCATTTCAATTGACAGACTGAATATTTTCCAGATATGAAAATGAGCCAAAGCTCTGGGCATCCCCCAATGAAGCACATTTTATGTGAAAGTATTCTTCCAGGCCACCAGGTGACACTGTTGGTCACATTTAGGATTTTGCTAATGTATACATCCCTGTAATTTAGTCACTTTACTGTTTGGCAAAACTTATGTTCTTCTTTTCTGTAGGTTTAAGTGTGAAAGAAGATGAGAAAAAGAGTGAGAGAGGGTCAGGGTGGTCCTAGGCCTATGAGTGACACTTGAATGTCGTAACAAGACAAAAGGCTTCAGTGACTACAGCTGAATACAATGAAGTCATGCACATTAGTATTTCAAATTATATTCTTGGGATACAAATCCATTTGATTGGCATTTTTCCCTTCTGTTTCATTTTGTAATATGCGCAGCGTGATCACAGAAGGCAAGTTATCTCTGTGAGACTGTGAAAAAAAAAACACCCCTTTCATTTCCAGCGCAGTGATGTCTAGATCTCCAACTTGACCTCATTGGGCCTGTCCCAAAAGGTGCCCTAAGCCCTGCAGGTCCTCCTTCAGGTTAGTCTTCCAGGGCCAGACATGATCTCATAACAAAAATACACATCTGGGGACAACTTGTTAAACTTTTTTGTTGGATTGTGGCGAAATCTGAAGCAAACCTGCCCCTGAATTCCACTAGACCATGTTCTTTTAACGTCTAGAGTGCAACCAATAACACAAGTAAAACAAGCTAGCCTGCAAAACACTTTGTTTGCCAATGGAACTAACTGTTTTTCCCTTTGCAAGAGTTTCATGCAATGCATCTACATGATGAATTTGAGTTTTTTGGGGGGACTTTTCAGCCATAGTAATCTACATTACATCTATAGGCTGACAACTGGCTTGTTTTCTGTCATACAGTGTTGATAAGCGCACTATTACCCCCCCTACTTAAGCCATGCCTTCATGAGGTGTTGGTCTGGTTTAGAAATTTCACAGTTCAGTTTGATCTCACCCTAGCAAGTGTATGTTCCCGTCAACAATGTGGGGACATATAGGGCAAAATATTGAAGGCGCTAGGTTTAAAAGCGTGCATTTGGGATAGACTTGTGTGACATGCTAGCTATGCATGTACTGGAATTATGTTGTCAATCATAATTGTTTTTTTTTTATTTAATAATTTGCTTATCTACTTGAATACCATCTTCTTTGCCATCTTCATCAGGTGGCTGTAAAAAAACATATCAGCCCTGATTGGCCCTAGCATGCATCTGGCAAGTGATCACTGCATTGATGCGGACCTCACTAAAGGGAGAATAGCGGGAGATCATGAATGTGAAATGGCACCCTGTGGCTTTGAACTCCACTCGGGCATGCACAAACGACAACCGCAGGGCTGCCCGTGCGCCAGTTGGGACAGGCCTATTGTCACTGGAACTCAATATTGAATTTATAATATAATTTAGTCACACTTATATGCAGTGCAATAGAAATTTTAAAAAGAGAAAACACAAAAACACTATTTATTGACGACTACAAACTGGAAATGTATTTGACTGCTGTCTTTTCATGTAGGAAAGATTTTCCACATGTAATGCATTGGCTACACTTGCTAATTACTCATATTAAATGACAATAATCCTGCTGAGCACACATTAATCCCTCATAAAAACAACAAAAGGTAGTACTGACCATGTGAGTAACTGAATGTTCTCTCTAAGTGGTGAATATTGCACTGGTTTGTATTCTAATCGTACAGAGTAATATCCAACACTTTCACATGCACTGTCTTGCTGTCAGCTGTTACTTTCAACTATGCTAAACTGAACTCATACCTGTCAAAGTGCCACACCTGTGTCCATCAAATAAACAGAGACTACATGTGTGTGTGTGTTTGTGAGTCTGCAGTGTTCACTTGTTTATGTGATGTGTGTATGTGACAATTTCCCCCACCTGTCAGGAATATTTGTCTTCAGTTAGTGGTACAAAACCATTTTTGTGTGTTTGCCATCTGTTTGCAAATGATTACTTTTCTTTCTTTTCATCTGTTTTTCCCCCCAGACATTTTTCTTTTATTCATTAGTTCCTTCTCTTTCTGCCATTCTTTCTTTTTTTCCTGTTAATTTCATTTATTTCTTCCTTCATTCCTTGCTTCTTTTTCTTCAGTTCTCCTCTCATTTTCTTGTTTCCTTCCTCCTTTTCTTTTTCTCCCTTCCTTTTTTCTTCTGTCCTTCCCTCCTTTCTTTACTTTTTCTTCTTCTACCCTTCCTTTCTTTCTTCCTTCTGTTTTTCTTTGTCTATTTTTCTTCCTTCTTTGCATGCTTCTTACTCTTTTTTCATCTTTCATTTCTCTTCCTTCCTTCTTGCCTTGCAAGCACTGTATTTCCTTTACAAATCTAGTGAAATGTGTAATATTGCAGTTGCCTAAGAAAGTTTTACAGAAATCCAGGCTTGCAATGATAATTTACTATTGTGGAGCTACTACATACATACAATATCATATTATCAATCATTTAGACAGAGGTTTAACAGTGTATTGTGATATCGCAATGCAAAATGGAGATGTGACAATACAATACATACTTGTAGGAAATGGACATTCAATTAATAATGGCATTGACTGGAATTGTATTGTCTGACTTCACAAACAACCAGCCCCAACCAACACGTACTCCATCTAATGAGAATATCGAATTGTGAACCCAGTATCGAGAAGTGAATCGTGGGCTGAGCATATCATTACACCCCTATTTACACATCACTTTACAACACTGCTCAAACTCGGGAAGAAAGAGTCGTTGAAGTGAAGTTGCGTTGCTCTGACTCGTCCTTTCCTGTACAGTTTCTGCACAAGCAGCCCATTCAGATCAGTTTCATCTCTAAAAATCTCAGAACGAAAAAAAGGGACAAGCTCATGAATATGCCTTTTTATGGCTAACAGTGTGCACCTTCATTAGGGCAAGCTGGGGAAAAAGCCCGGCTTAGCAACACTGCTGTCTTTTCATTCTAAAATGCCCTCCCTTTCCATGTTTGAGAAGCAGGTGTAAATGGGACATCTTTGTAAAATTACCAGCAGTTCTATTTGCCTGGAGGAATAGGGAGGCGAGTAAATGCATTAGTGTGCCTCCCTCCTCTCTCTGTGCCAGGCAGCTCAGACAGGGCGACGCTTGGGAATGGCTGGAGTCCCAGCTCCAGTAGAGTCTCTCTCTGTGTAAACAGCTTCATCCTCGAGCACAAGAGTCCTCTCACTGAGCTTAGTTTGCCCTCTACTGATCAGCCTATGGAATCACCTGCGTTGCCAGTTGGTTACGGCCGTTTTATCAGGAACACCTACCATATAGGTGTAGAATTACATTTACTGACTGTCGCCCATCTGTTGCTGCACAGTTTGTCAGACGCCCTCTACACCATCCATTAGTAAAACGGTACCACCACTCATCATCAACAATCTGTTAAAAAAAGCTTCATAGCTGAACAGTTTCAACGAACAAACCGAACAAACAGGCTACGATTAACGGAACACTATAATTTTTTTTGAAAAAAAAAATTTATTATCTAAAATGATATGTAAAATGTTTTTTTGCATGAGGTCTTTTCATACAAAACAGAAAGTAAACATCATGCACATAGTATCAGATAAATACAGTAGATTAAAACAAACTGACAACATTTGTTTGTATCATGTCACATACTCAAAACCTTCTGGCACTTGAAAAAAATCAAAGCTTTCTAAAAAAAAAAATCCTCATCATCTCTATATTTATGTGAAATATATTGTAAATAGTGTGTAAATATACGCACATACATGCCTATCATGTCACGGCTGAACGCATATCTAATTTGCTTTACAATGATGGTCCAGTGATTCAGTTTTGGAGAGATCATTTGCCAAGTGCAGTTTGTACAGACCTGTTCCCTGAGTGACATTTTTTTTGTTTTGACATTTAAATCTAAGCTCACTGGACAAAAAATGAGTCACATTTATCATTTCTTTTCTGATACTTGTTTATATATGCATCCCCTTGCCTCAGGCCTGTCAAGTAAGTATTATACCTGTCCCCTGTCAATTTTAACCTAATCTTCCTCTAACTGAGTGCACATTTAAGCTAGAGTTCATATGTGCCTATTTTGGTGTTTCACCTGCCATGATGTCCCATTTTTCCATCATATCTGTTAAACCAGTCACATACAGACACGCTACATCTGTCATCCTGGAATGTGGGAGTGTCAATGTTCAGTTCTGCTCAGACATTAAGCACAAAGTTAGTGGAATAGTGGACTAAAATGGACAGGAAGTATTTCAATCTGGTACAATCCATACCTGACCGAACTGGTGCTGTCATTAAAGAGGAACTGACTTTTTCAAAATGTCTGCATAATTAGATGGTTGAGATGTAAATAAAGTCATTTGAAGGGAAATGCTGTTGTAGAGAAACTTACAGAGTCAGCACTGCTCACAGACGTTTGAAGCGTTTAATAGCTGTTAAACCTACTTCAAAAGAAGCTATTACAAAAAATCCATTCTGCTTGTATGTTAAATGTACACACACACACACACACACACACACACACATACACACATACACACATACACACATATATATATATATACACAATGTGCAAAAAAGATAGGACTGATGTAATGGTGGTGCATACTGGCCATTTTAAGGCAATAAATTACCCAAAGAAAGTTTTTCAGATTTACCACTATTTTACCATTATCAACATTACATGTAAAAACTGGTTTTGGATAGTAAATAAAATGGCTATACTTGTGTTGTAGACACTGTGTCCTCTGGTTCCTATCACCACCACTGGAAGGAAATCTGAGCCAGTGAATTTCTCTACAAAGAAGTGTTTCACATCAAACCACCCTAAATGACTTTCAGCCACTGAATTATGCAGACATTTTGAAAATTTGGTGAAATACCCCTTTAAGGCAAGGGGAGATATAACCAAGTATTGGGGAAGAAATGATACATGTGACTATTTTTTTGTCCAGAGGCGCTTAAATACCATGCAAACACAGGGATTGAAATGGGAGTTGACAGCTCTGCTAATTTCAAAACTACTGCTCTAAATTCTTCTAAAATGCTTTAAGATTCACTAGGATGTAAGCACAGGAACAGCTCAGGCTCCCTTCATATTATTTTAGAAGAATAAAAGGTTAAACATCACAGCATGCAATGCCTAATCTCCATCATCTTCAGGAATTCCAGGGCTGTTCATTCACATTTGCAACTGATGACCAGTGGCCGCTTGGATGAAACAGCTTAAGTGATTTTTTTGCTTTTGAAGTTTTAATTTACACATACATTTATTTATCTTTGCATAAAGGGCAAAGCGAGCTCCTTAATTTTAGTTAATTATGGGTTTATCTCTGTTGCTATGGTAACCAAAAGGCTCATGTCCTTAAAAAATGAATTTTTCTGCAACTATGCTCCGAGTATAACCCATAAATAAGAAGAGCAGTTGTGTAGTGTACATAATGCCTTTAGCTTAGGTAAATATAGACCTTAAGAAGGCTATTTAACTTCAAAATCTTTAAGATGTTCTATGCAAGCGGCCACAGGTCTGAATCAGAATCTCACCATCTGACTTTGTGACAGTACACCCCATATTTTAAATGGTGGGGAAGGAAGCCGAAGCTCCGCACTCCAGGTTCTGGTGGGCCGCAGTTGGGCCTGTGTCTGGTGATAGGGTAACGCACGCTCCCGTCAGCTAACCACCCGGCGTTACACTGGTCCAGCCCCACAAACTTCCAGGCTGCGTACAGCTCACCCACTTTAGCGATGTGAGCACCATCCTGCACGCAGGCCTCCACTGCCTCAGTGAAGTTCAGTTTGAGTGGGTGCTCCAGGAAGTAGACCTTACCTGAAGAACAAGAAAAGGCAAGGCGTTAAGATGTTTCTTTCACTGGAGTTCTAGAGGGAAGTACATTTTACATTTTTTTTGCAAGGGTACTTTAATTTCTACTTGAGTCATTATTGAATTAATTATTTCACTTAGGGTTTAGGCTGCTCTGTTTATTTTAATTGATACCCAGTTTTCTCCTCAGTTTTAGTCATTGCCGATTCCACCCACTATCTACCAAGATGGGAGGGTGAGGGGTAGCACAAGCTTGCTCCAAGTCATGTGAAGCATCACTGCATCTTTTCAAACTGCTGCATCACTGGACAGCTCAACATGCTAGATGCCTGCATTGTCCAGCATCAAACTGTGATGGCTGTGGCATTGCTGAGGATCAAACCCGATGCTATCAATGGTAGGGCCAATGCTTAGACGGTAGCGCCACTCACAACTCATAATAAAACTCATTAAAAAAATTCCAGAAAATTTTGAAATTCTCATACATAATTTAAAACAGCTTTAAGAATTTCCTTGAAGTAATTCTCTGTTTAAATCTGTTGAAGACACTGAGGTCAAACCTTCATTTGTAACGAACAAAGTGCTAGTAAATTACTATCTTCGACTTCTTCCAAAACACACAATTACTGAGTGTTAAGACAGACAGACAGACTATCGAAGAACTAATGACGTGCTAAGGTTAAAAAGCTTCATAATTTTTTCCCTTAACAATAGTTGTCTGAAAACACATGGAGACTAATTAGTTCAGGAAAAACAGAAAGCCAGAAGACAGATTCCTTACAGCTGACGGTCTCATGGGACATGCAATCAGGGAAATTAAAGCACACTGTTGCCCTTTGAAGACTGTGGTTTGACTCAGAGTGTGAGAATCTTGCTGGAGATCAAAGCTAAGACTGGTTTTTTCTGGCCCGAGAGCTTTTGATATGCCTCGTAAATGCTGCCTGGTGGTTATATTACAGCTTGCCAAATACAACTATTACAGAAGGGTGGAGATGTGTAAGGAAGAGTATCATTTGTGAAATTGAAAAATCACACATCCATGTGTTCTGCGTTGGCTTTAACTGTAATGAATCATAGTTTGGAATTTTGAAACACATGTTGGGTTTGACAGTTTTGGAACATAGCCTGATTTTTCCCAAACATCTGTCAGAGCAATTCTGCCAATTGCATCTCCTCCCCCCCGCCAAAAAAAAAACAACTAACACACACATTTTAGTGAGAGGTCCAAATGTAGAACACCAGCCCAGAAATTTCTGGTGTCCGAACATTGCTTCTTTAATTTGGGACTTGAGGCTAACAAGTAATGGAAGCTTATACCCCACCAGTTAGCTTTGTGCAACTACATGCCTAATTCACCACACACTCGTGTCAAACCACATCTAGCTGTTACATACTCTCATACAGACTTGCTTATTTGGTTTCAGACACAGTATGACATACTGTCAGCTATGAAAATGAAAGACAAAAACAAAGACAAACAAAGAAAAAATGAACTGAGAGTCACTGTCTAGCTGCTGAGTGGGCAGCCTCCTGCACACTGCAGATGTGGTGTACAGAGAAATAGAACACACAATAACACATAACGTCAGAAAGGTTCAACCAGGAATTTGAAGCGTGCTGATATTTCAGAGTCATCCAAGTACATAGAGAACATGTTGTGAACATGTCTTATAGGATTTTGTTGTGTGTGGCAAACTGTCACTTGTGGTTTTGTGTGGGGCAAAGCTTGAAATTGAAAATATGCAGTTGTTTACTCCACAATGTATGACAACTAGGGTTGGATGATATGAGCTCAGAATTATGTAGATATTTTCCATGGTTTCTACAATAATGACATAACAATATAAAAAAAACACATCTAACAACAATAACAAACGACAACAACCACAGAGTTCCACTGAGCATCGATGGTTTCAAACAGTTGAAAAATAGTGGGTTTAATTTGGTCTAAAGATTAGTTGGTGGGGCACTGCTCTACTAAATGACCTCCTGATGCCATGCCTTAATGTAGAAGTGACTGGAAGTGGCACTCAGCAGCACAGTTACTATTTGGTCTAATTGGATTTTCGAATGATGGATCTACTGTTAAAGGTTTCAAAACAAATCATTGGGCATTAATCAATCAATCATAGCTCATGAACTAAAAGAATAGGAATTGATTTGTATACTGTTATGGTATCATATTAAGTATCATTATTTTACCCTGTGATGGTAGAATGAGAATGATTATTTGAATATGGTACATGTGCCATTAAAGTTTTATGAATTAACTTCTAATCACTTCTAATTTAAGGTTAACTAGAATGACATTTTGGAAACATGCATTACATTGTATTGATTGTATTTGAAAGGTCACTTGGTTGTTTTTGTGAAAGCTCCAGATATGGTAACTTCCCCATCTGATCAGAATTAGCTCTAAGAGTCCCGACACAAATATATTAACTGTGCTGTCTGTCAGCATTTTATTTGGCATGTAAGCCTAAGCTCAAACCTTCCTAGGGGGTTCAACTCCATTTATGGCATTAGTTCAAAAAATGACCTTATCTTATCTAGAGACATTTAATTTCATGGCGTCCTCCCTTTTACGATACGTCACTAGGTCCCTAAAATATCCAGCACACTCTAAAATTTCAGATCTCTGAACTCAAGCCTTGAAGGATAACCTCTTTCTGTTATTCTCTGATTTCTGCTGCAGGCCTATCACATTTCCACAGCATGGGAAAATCCATATTGTGAGACCACTGATACTCACTGGTACTAGTATTCAATTTAATACTGGTATACCTCCCACCCATAACAACAAGAAACATAAAGACATGCGCAAAGCTGTGGATGTAAAGCAATCTTCACCTCTGATGGAAGAAGTGAAGCAGAATGCATCAAACCGGTCAAGGGTTTTATGGCGTAAGCCATAGCTCCGTACACCTGGTGCCAATTCCTTGCCACCACAGGCCTCTCGAGGCACAGAGACAGGGTACTGTGCTGTCCCATCAGCTAGCCAGCCTGCATTACACCAGTCCAATCCCTCCTCGTAGGCTGCAAACAGCTGCTGGAAGGTGGCCAGGCAGGCACCCTGCTGTTCACAGGTCTCCTTAGCTTCCTGGAAGGTCAGCTGATAGCGTCCCCTGGGGGAGTAATAAGGGAACACCACACCTGTGGATGAGGCAAAAAGGCATCTTACAGCTGAATGCAGCTGAAGGAGTGGTATGTCAACAGACTGCATGACTGCATCAAATGCAAAAATGCATCAGTGCTTTGTGAGGAGTCAGTCTTGTGGTGATTCAACATCTGCATGGAATTTGAAAAGTTAAAATTGTTTAAAATAATATTCATGGCAAGGCAAGTTTATTTATATAGCATCTTTCATACACTGCTGTCATTCAAAGTGCTTTTCAGAAAAGAAAATACAAAGTCATTTAAAAGTAACGTAAAGGAGAGTAGAAATTGAAAACATGACTAAAACATGATTAAAACAATAGATTTTAAAAGAGATGAATCATTAAATTAAAAATCAAACAAAAAAAATTAAGACAATTAAATAAAAAATTTAATTAGTATAATAAAGTGCTGTTAAATGAGAGAAGTGCAGTAGAGCTCACAGTGTTTTAAACTGAGCTGAAAGCTGTTTAAAAAGGAATATTTTCAGCCTGGATTTAAAAGTGTCTAGTGTCAGTGCTCTTCTAATGCTCTCTGTCGAGTGGCTTCATTTAAGAGCAGAATAGTAGCTAAACGCTGCTCCTCCATGTTTATTCTTTACCTTAGACATGACTAAGTTACCAGTTCTTAGTGATCTGAGAGTTCTGCTAGGCTCATATTACTTCAGCATATCAGATAAATATGCTGGGCCTATACTGCTAAGCGATTAAAAGACCAGTATTAGCACCTTAAAGTCTGTTCTGTAACACAGAGTAAGGGTTTAAGAATGGGGGTGATGTGTTCCCTTCTTTTACTCCTAGTGAGAATGCAGAGCAGCTGCATTTTGAATCAGTTGAAGATGTTTGATTGTCTTTTTTGGGAGTCCAGTTAGAGGACCATGACAGTATTAATTCTACTAGAAATAAAGGTGTGGATGGGTTTCTCCAGGTCTGGTTCAGTGAGTAACTTTGAATCTTACTGACTGAATTATGCAGAAACTGAAAAAAATGGGTGTAATTCTCCTTTAAATCTCTTTAATTCCACGTGGGCCTCCACTTCAATTAATTGCTCTCATAACTGCACTCTTAAAAAAAGGTTCAAGGGTTCTTCGGTGAAGGCAATGGTTCTATTTAGAACCATGAGTTCTACACTCTTAAAACAGATGGTTCTTTGAGAGTTCTTTAGTAAAAGGAATGGATTTATGTAGAACAATTTCATGCTTAAACGTTTTTTGCACAGTGAAATGGCTCTGCAGAGGGAGAATGTGTTGCATATAGTTCTACACAGAACCTTTTTGAAAATGGTTCTATATCGCACCAAAAAGGGTTCTATTACTGTCACAATGTCAAGCTTTTACACAATAGAATATACCTTTTAGATGCTATATAGAGCCATATACAACACATTCAACACTCCATCAATCTGAAGAACATTTCACCATGCAAAGAACCATTTGAGCATGAAAAGTTCTAAACAGAACCACTGTCTTTGCTAAAGAACCCTTGAAGAGCCATCTTTTTATTAGTTTCATCATTGCCAGCTGAAAGTTAAGAACTATTCCCAGCCTCTTTAGAAACGAGATGCAGGTCAGATTACCTCTGAACTCGAGCTCCACGGTGACGCTCTCGTCCTCCAGGCCGTCGATGATCTCGCAGCGGTAGCGCCCCGTGTCATCGACCTGCAGCGGGTTGATGACCAGCGATGCGTCACCCGGGACGCTCCGGCGGAGGCGCACGCGCCCTCTGAAACCCCCGTAACTCCTGTGGCGCGAGCCTAACGCCACCATCACGTCCTTCTCCGGCCCTCCACCCGCAGCCGGCTGCCAAAACCACTTGACCCTCGTCCTGCGGGGCGCGCTGAGCTCCGGTTCATACCGGTAATGACACGGAAGGGTCACGTTGCTACCCTGAATGGCGGACACCGACGTTTGTGGAGACTCCACGTGAAGACGGACCCCATTGAAGTATACTGAAACACGAGAGGTGGGAGAGAGTCACTGACAATGAGCGGCATTCACCAAACCTCTCAGAGTAATGAGCGCTGATCTGGGATCAGGTTTTCACCTTTTCTACCCAAATGAATGCAGTTACATGGAAAAGAGGGCAGCCTGACTCCACACCAGCAGAGACAAATGAGAAATACCACCAATTAAAACAAAAGCTGCTTTCACGAGACGATGTCAGAATAAAGGCCCCGTGTTCCACTTCTACTCTCATCTGTAGAAGCAGAACCACAAGAATAAAAAAGGTATCGAAGCTCATTTTCCAGGAAAAAAAATCTAGTGTTCCTATATGGAAGAAAAATGTAAACGTACATACATTAGCTCTTATTAAAATATATGTGCAATATATATGTGAATATATTTAAATGTGTATTTTCAAAATATTTAAATATATGCTAACATATGCACATCCATGTCAATATATTGAAATGTATGCACATATATAGATGAAATATATGTAACATTATACATATGCAAATATATTGCACGCTTGACACTTATTTTGAAAACTATATGTAAATATATTTCCTTTATGGTTTTTCTCGATAAACAGTATGTCAAAACTGATGGTATCTCGAAAAAAATGACTTATTTTCGCGGAATTTTGACTTAGTATATCAAAGCAATGACCTCTTTTCTCAAAAATGACTCGAAGTAATGACGTATTTTTTCGATATAATTAGCTACATGTCAAGATAATGGGTGATGTACAGTAGCTTAAGTAATACAGAAAATCAGCCACAATTTTGATAAAATTTGGAGGTTGTAAGTCAGAAATGTGAGAAAACAAGTCATAGCAAGTCATTATTTCGAAAAAAAAGTCCAGGTTTGACACACTACTGCCTAAAACAGAGAAGAAATCTGGCTGGAATGGTCTTCCATAAACACATCTGGCTGGCACTAAGATGAACATAAACGGACTGAACTGTAGTAAAATGGCAGACAGGTCTTACTCTCTCCGTTGCCGTTGCTGTTCTCGATGGTCTGATAATAATAGCCGTTGGAGTATCGCAGCGCGCGGATCTCCAGCACCACGTGCAGCAGCACCAGCAGGGGGCGCGCGATTCTCATGTTCGCGAGGCGTCTGCTCTCTCACAACTTTGCAAACAAGACCACTTTGGATTAGTATTGAACTTTTTCTTTGGTGAAACAAACTGAATTTGCTGTAAGGTTGTTATAGATTAAATAGTTGGTTATAGACGTGAGCTGTATCAGTCTGGCATACTGAAATTCTCTTAACAGAGTGAAATTATTCTTTATTTGGCTTTTGCTCCAGGGTATTTTCTTTTCTTGGCGTTTTTCCTGAGTAAACTTGGCCACCATGAAGCGAGAACAGTAGCTATGCTGATAGCACATTAGAGTCACTTAAAAGTCCTCTCGCTTTAGCATAGAAACTCAGCCCAAAACTCATCCCCGGAAACACAGGCTTGGCACACGTACATCCACAAAAGTGGATTTGTTAAAAGTCAAAATTGTCAAAATGTAATAAAATTGTATAGATATTACCCATATATCTTAAAATAAATATTTTTTTAGCAGTGCCCAAGCTATAGGGCGTTATGTCGTACTTGACTAAATGTAACGTCAGACTCGGGTTCAGTATGAAGTAAAATCAGATTTGCTGCTTACCGATTTGAAGCGCTCCCTCGCCCCGGTTCGTCCACTCTGCATCCTCCCCTCTCCGGCTCTCCGCTGATGTTTTGGAAATCAGAGCTGACGTCACCGAGGCTTCCCCTCTGAAGAGCGCTGCTGCTCCGTGAACAAAAGCTCGGACTGCAGTCTGAACGCTGCTGCTGCTGCACTGCCCTTTAACAAAGGCTCACTGCTACAAACCCATATCCAAGTGAGGGGGGCTGGGGAGATCTGGGATCACCAGTAAGCCAGAAGGGACCTCTCCTGGGGGATGAATTTTAAAGCAATAGTCTACTATTTTTCATATAAAACACATTTCTTGAGGGATTTTTGTGAAACGCGTTTTTTAAAGTAAACTGCTATGCAAAGATGACCTCTCATTGGCTACCTATGGGCATAAAACTGCACGGGCTCATTTGTCTTGTACAACAGCAGGCATGGAAAACAGCTCAATGACATCATGTCCTTGGGTTATGAATTATGAATGGCTATTGTAACATATTAACCAAACATCTTCAGCATAAACTGATTATTTACAGATTGGTTTAAAGGGAAATTCCACCAATTTGTCAAAATTACTACATAATATAATGGTGTAAATAAAGATGTTTAAACGAGATGTAAACAAGTCAGTCAGAGTGGTTTGATGTGAAACGTTGCATTGTAGAGAAACTTAATGACTCAGATTTCTTTACAGTGGTGGTGACAGGAACCAGGAGTCATGATCTCTACAGCACAAATTTACATATGTTATCTAGTATCCAAAACCACCAGTAAATGTACAAATGTACAAGCAACATCTCCGGTATTAATAGCTTTCTGTGAGGGATCTTTTAGAGGCATGAACTCTTCAGATGTCTGGTTCCTATCACCACCACTGTGAAAAATTCTGACTCGTAAATTTCTCTAGAATGGAGCATTTTATATTAAATCACTCTGAATAACTTTGTTTACATCTTTTATGCAGATTTTTTGAAAAATTGGTTGAATTCCCCTTTAATAGGTTGTATTCTGTCTGCTAAGTTCTGTTTTCTCCTGCATCTGAGAGGAAGTGGAAACCAGTCACATAGAGAAATGCATGATTAGTCACAGCATTCAGACAAGTGTGAAGTAATAAAATAGTTCCCAGAAATATATGATATCTGTTATTTACCAGGTCTTACCACAATTTTAAATTAGTTACTTAAACTAATCCAGTAAATTTTATTTTCAAAATCAGAAACTGTTACAAGAGTTTATATACAGAATGAAAGAGAGTTATAACATACTCCTTTCACAATTACTATGATAATAAATAACTAAATGGTTTTCAGGATGAGCATTTTCATTCACAAACTATCTGAAATGGGTGTGATTCATTTTAAACTGGAACTGCCAGATGGTGAACCATAAATGAATGACAGTTAACAGAACTGAGTCAGACTGGTGGTCTACAGGCTGCAGTGGGGGTCAAATATGCTAACTTTGTGGAAAAATGTAACAACATAATCAGCTAAAGACAGGTCATATGTTCAACCCAAGCTGATTCATGCAAACTGCTCAGCTTGATGAATCAAGTGATCACACAGCTAAAATAAAAGCACCACACACAATACGGCAGCTGTCTGTCAAGGTTTTGTGTGTAAATGAAACTTTAGAAGTTAGTTCCCACAAACTGATTCATCCAACTCACTTAAATGACCTCTAATATTTTCCTTTAGTATCTGGTACTCTCTACTTTGGTTTCTGAACATTAAAAATGTTCATGCCATTTTACATACTATTACTATTATTATGTACCATTTATGACCTGCAGCCCCTGCATCACAGAAAAAGACACCTAGATCAATACATTTTAGGTCATCTTATCTTAAAACCATTGTAAAACAATGTCTCAGGCATCAGGCAACATAATCATAACCATTTCTGTGTTGTAGCTTTTAGAGGCATTAAATATTTTGGATGCCTGGTTCCTATTACGACCACTGTGAACAATTCTGACTCTGTACATTTCTCCTGAAAAGAGCACCTTAATCGTAATCTCTAAGGATGACTAAAGTGCCATTTGGTCATTTTAAACACCATAGCCATAACAGGTGCATTGCTTGGTCTTTGGTCTAATTTGGTCTGGCAAATTTCTACCATGTGAGTCTGCTGTTTATGTGCTTAGCTTGAGGTTTATTGTTTAATATCATAATGTTGTCATTACATACGTTTTTAGAATACCTGATATCCATTGTGGTCTATGATGATAACAGATTTTAAAGTTGGAAACTTCACATCATAAAAACTGTACTCAGCTCTGTTTCATTATAAAGACATCACTATTGTAGGCCAAGTAGGCCAAATTGAATAGTCTTATCTGATAGTGTAACAAAGTAACAATCATACAAAATCACTGTTGTCTTATGCAAGGCTAGTTTTAAATCAAACTGTGAAAAACATATGTTTTTGCAGGCTAGATTTTTCAATGCACATGATGATGTGAAGCTATAGGCGTACACCCAAAACACACTGAACTCTGACCGACAGTGGTGTCAAAAATACAGCTGTGTTGGAAAAAGGTGAAAACCAGAATTCTACTTCTCTCCAGAGGCACGTAAAACAGGTTAATGTTCCAAAGTCAATAGCTGAGGATGGTATAGGTATCCTTACGATGATGGGATTTTCCCTCTCTCTCACATGATCACAGGCACTCGGGATGTGTGAGAACGGTTTTCCGTGACCCTCCAGCTTGGTCCAGCAGACACTAGGAGCAGGACGTCCAGTAAGTGTCAGCAGCTCTTCTGAAATGTGACCCTCCCTGTCTGATGAAGGTGTTATTTTAGTATCAGTGACAGTTACTTCAACTCACCAGTGGCTGTGGAAAGGGAAGGGCTGCTCAGCGGCCTTTTGTGGGAGCAGGATGTTGAGCAAATATCATCACTCAGTATCATGACCTCTACTATAACCTCTACTCAGGTTTATACCACCATGCTTTTGACCCGTACAGACAGAGAGAGTGAGAGAGAGAGAGAGACAGAGACAGAGAGAGAGAGAGTTACCTTGCTGCTTTCCCAGATATGGAGACCCATTACTGATGCTTTTGAAGATCCCAGCCAGTTTGTTCCCAAAGCTAAGATGAAAGCAGTCGCCTAGAGCAAGGAATGCCAACAACCAGTGAATAGCAGGGGGCTGAGGGGGAGCATAATTTTGGCTGCTAACGTCAGGCCAAGAGAGCATTGTGCACTAATTGTTTGGTCAAAATGAAAAGGTCCAGAATGTCTGTATGTAAACGCTCCAGGTTCTCCTTAAGCCCTTGTCAGTTTTAGTTACTGCAACCTGAGAGACACAGAGAAAACTAAGCTGGCCTTCTCAGTCAATCTAACAGTAGCTGTAGGAATGAATTCAAATGAATCTGCTTGGGGCAGATTTTCTGGTGCATTAGCTTTCCCAAACACCAATAATGCCTACTCCAGGAGAAAAAAAACACACGTTCATTATCCTCATTAACAGTGAAACTTAGTTAACAATGGGGATTAAAGGGGAAATCTTTGTTGGTGACAGGAACCAGACATCTGAAGTGTTAAATGGCTCTAAAAGCTACCTCACAGTAAGTTACTACACTAAATGGTTATAAATATGCTGCTTGAAACCTGAGACAATGTTTTACAATGCACACTTAAAAAAGAGGTTCTTTTAATGCAAAGGTTCTATACCACCATGCAAAGAGCCACTTAGGCATGAAATGGTTCTATAGAGCTCATCTTTACATTGGTTGTTTTGGTTTGTAAATAAAAATAGAACCATGCAAGGTCTGGTGGACCACCATAACTGTCCCCATCAGATAAACAGCACTTAAAGCTTTCATCTTTGAGAGAGAGGAGAAAATCAAGCTGCTTGAGATTTGAAAAAATCCACAGGTGTTTCTGTCCATCCTTCCACTGTGAGAAGACAACTCAACACTATGAGTCTGAAAGGATGTGTAGCTGCAAAGAAGCTCTTACTGAGAAAAGGAAAATACATAAAAAGAAAAAAATGCAAATCAAGCAAAGAAGCTGCTGGTGTTCAGACATCTGAAGTGTTTAATGGCTCTAAAAGCTACCTCACAGTAAGTTACTACACTAAATGGTTATAAATATGTTGCTTGAAACCTGAGACAATGTTTTACAATGCACACTTAAAAAAGAGGTTCTTTTAATGCAAAGGTTCTATACCACCATGCAAAGAGCCACTTAGGCATGAAATGGTTCTATAGAGCTCATCTTTGCACTGGTTGTTTTGGTTAGTGAATAAAACGGCTATGTTTGCATTGTAGACGTTGTGACCACTGGTTCCCATCACAAATTTCTCTACAATGCACTATTTAAAAGCAAAACACCCTGAATGTATTTGTTTACACCTTAACCATTTAATTATATGGAATTTATTATATAGGGGAATTCCCCTTTCATCTGTGTCTGGAAAATCTCCCCTAAAAACTGTATACATTACACAGTTCTCCTAAAAGCAAGCACATCTTCAAGTTCTTACATTCTCTTAATTCTAGTAGTTAAATGTGTGACAAAATGTGACCAAACAGTTTTCTTGCTTTAAATTCAAAGCCTACAAGGACATTTAAACTAAACACAAATGAGCTAAATTATACAGCCATGATATTCACCGCAGATTTCACAGCCACATTTGAAAGAGGCAGAAATATAACTGGAGGAGTTCACATTTAGACCCTGATGATAGATAAGAGAAGATTAAAAGTCTTTATTTAGCAGGAAGTGGAATGAAGGCAGAGATAATTTATTCTCATAGTAATTACACCTCTGTGAGGGAAATGCTTGAAGTGGGCTCTGCAGTAAACTACCGCATTCTCTGGTTTAAGTGCCCTTTGATATTACTGTTGCCTTTGATTCCTCTATTGCAAATCTTTCATTTAATTTTGATAATACTTCCTTATGGGACTGACGATGTTAAAATCAAGCTGAAGTCTTGTCTCCATGTTGATATTCCTACAGTACTGTACAAAAGTTAGGGACCACCCTCAATCAAAACAACTATTAAGTACAAGTAGTGGATTTTACAGAAGATACTTCTGAGTTTGTAGGAGTTCAAATAATTGTTAAAAGATACAGAGAAAATGGGACTCTTAAGAACCATGCAAGGTCTGGTGGACCACCAAAACTGTCCCCATCAGATAAACAGCACTTAAAGCTTTCATCTTTGAGAGAGAGGAGAAAATCAAGCTGCTTGAGATTTGAAAAAATCCACAGGTGTTTCTGTCCATCCTTCCACTGTGAGAAGACAACTCAACACTATGAGTCTGAAAGGATGTGTAGCTGCAAAGAAGCTCTTACTGAGAAAAGGAAATAGATAAAAAGAAAAAAAATGCAAATCAAGCAAAGAAGCTGCTGGTGTTCTCAGAAAAATGGACTGACCACCCCAGACCTCAACATCACTGTATGTGTTTGAGATTACTTGGATTGTGAGAAACAGAAAATGTAACTAACGTCTAAGACTGACCTTTGGAGGTGTGGAAAAATATCCCTGCAGACTTCTTTTAAAAACTGAAAGCCAATCTGCTAAAGAGAATGAAAGTTGTGCTGTTATATTTAGTTGTTGATGCTTCTGTTTTTCTGTTAAATATGTTTTCTGGTTTTTTCCTGTCACTGAAAAATAAATAACTTGTACTTTGTAGCTGTTTTGACTGGAATTTAAAAATGAAAGGTGGTCTCTGACGTTTGCACTATACTGCAGTGCTTTATAGTACACTTACCAACACTTTATTAGGAACACCCCCTTGTATCTACATTCATTGTCCTTTTTATCAGCTCCACTTACCATACAGGAGCACTTTGTAGTTCTACAATTACAGAATGCAGTCCAACTGTTTCTTTGCATACTTTGTCAGCCCCCTTTTACCCTGGTCTTCAATGGTCAGGACCTCTACAGCACCACCACAGAGCAGGTATCATTTGGGTGGTGGATCATTCTCAGCACTAGTGACACTGACGTGGTTGGTGTGTTAGTGTGTGTCGCACTGGTGCGAGTACATTAGACACAGCAATTCCTGGACTACAGTCACCTATATGGTACGTGGAGCTGATAAAAGGACAATTAAGTTTTTTAAAGCATTTTTAGTGACAACTTTTTTCCTTGTTTTTATTGGAAATTGTTTTCTGAAAGGAAAATGAGACATACTGTGCATACAGTATATGAGGTACTTCTGTACTGACCATCATGTCTGTGCCTGTAGTTGTTACATATGGAAGGAAACCCTCAAAACCTGAAGGAGAGCCTGAAAAACGTGTCTGATCTGTATAAACGGACAACATCCAGTAAAAGTTATTTATGGCCTTAAGCCACTGAGTCCACTGTGGGTTATGTTTCGAAATGCCAAATGGAGTAACTGTCCACACAAACAATGGATGATCTTTGATAGATGTGTTTGTACAGAGGTTGAGTGACTCTACAGCTAAAACATTTGCTCCATACCTCGTCCAAAATAACTTTGTTATTCCAGGAATGAATCCTTCCTGGAGGTGGCACACAGGTACTGAAGTTTTCCTGCCATTCTTTGGAATAACACCAGGCCCCCCCTACAGCTTTCCTGCTTCAGCCACTGGATATGAGTTCTATATACTGCACCTAGTTAATCAACAGAGGACACAGAGTTAATGGAACAGTGCTTCTTTTGGCAATGGCACCATGCACACAAAGACATCTTTATATTCTGTTTGGTACATGATTCTCCACAACAAGCTAAGACAATGAGAGCAATGACACAGGCTTGGAAAAAAGAATGACACCATGACATGAGACCTTTTCAGCCCACTCAACTGTGTGTGGTGCTAATGGAACAAGAAGGTCAATGTATGGTAATTGAGTACTCAAAGGCCAGCATGATCTATTTTAACACTTTATTTATGTTTTTGTTTATTAAGAACATGAAGAAATAATTAGAGAGAGAGAGGTACACTCAGGAAATTAATCAAATCTAAGCATGTTATCAGGGTCTGGAAATCTGCCCTATGGTATGAAACATAAAAAGCATGTTAATTAAGTATCAGGGAAAACAAGACAGAACAAAGAAGATATTGAATAAAAATAAAAAACTTGCTTTGTGCTCGCAGTGAAGTAAAAAAGCTCTGATAAAAATCATACGCTGACAATGGTGATGAAAGACGAGTTTTTTTAAATGCATGCGTCCTCTAAATACACATCCATCTTGAATTGTCAAAACATATTGTTCAGTGTTTCTTACCATCAATCAGTACTTCTAAATCTTTATCCTAAAGCAATGGAGAAAAATACTGCCCATTTTTTTAAAGCATGTTCCATTAATATTTTTCATTAATATTAATGCTCACATCATATTGCACAAGCCCAAAATTCATAATTCATAGGCGGGTCACTAGGGAGGGGGTCACAACACAGCACCGTGAGAGCATTATGTAGATTGGGGTGGGTTATGTCAGAGCTTCAGTGCAACCGTAGAAATCATCCTAAATTAGATTTTCACCCCCTTACTGGGGGAACTGCATATGTTTTTTTATAAGTAGCTCAAAGAACCTCAAAAAATTTCAAACATCGTTGACCCAGCTTATCACTGAATATATTAGACATAACGTATTTGGTTGAACACCCAAAGCAGGGGCACCAGATTAACATGGAAGAAACAGATCACTTTGGCTTCTGAACTGAGAATATTCAAAAGGTTATGGTTTATTTCTGAATAATGTGTTAAAAATCAGTAGCACATTGCAATTGATTCAACTCTACCTGAGAAAGATCCGTGGCAGTGTTGGGCCAAAGCATTAAGGTTTTATAATACTGAGTAACTGATAGATACCTGCTATTTCTTTGTTATACTTCAAGGTTGAACATTGATTCAAAAGGTATCAAACTGAATAACAACAAAAAAAAAAAAAGGAAACCAAAAAAATATACAGCCTTTTTGAAAAGTCATGCTCACAACCAGTTAGTTATCCTGCTATGAACTACTCACAAACTTCACCAACTTAAAATCCTACAACTGGACAATGCATTTACAACTAACTAACTAACTAACACAAACATGACTCTATTTAATGACCCATTTGTTATGTACATTTTTTCCTTTTAACAAAATACAATTTTTTATCCATATATTTCTTCACTTTAAAATGGGCCACTTTTTGTACATCATTCTAGCCTAGCTAAATGAGCACACTGCAATAGTATCATCTCCATAGAGCACTGCAGTCTCATAGGAACAGACCATTCTACTGCTAATCACGTAACACTAAGAGATTCTGGATTTCAGCTTGCACCATCTACTTATTGTGGCAAAATCTCGCTGTGTTGTTCTGAGCTTGCACTGCAGCTTTTGGTGTTGTGTGTTTTTTTTTTTTAAAAACCATGGGATATCCCTGAAGCTCCCTGTAAGCTCAGTTCCCTGCTGTCTGGGGTTGTGTGGTGTTAGCGCCCTCTGGTGCTGGGACCGAGGCAGTGCATATGTGGCTCAGGAAGGAAGGGACGGAGGGAGGTAAAGGAGGAGTGAGAAAGAGAGAGAGAGGGGGACTTGGGGCTTTACTCAGCACAGCCCAGCAGCTCCATTCGCACAGTGATGCGCTCATGCCACGCCCACGGGAGGATGCGGACGTATCGGGCGTAGAAGGGCGGCTCAAACACGTTCTTTTTGTGCACGTTGTTATCGCTGTTGCCGGGGAAGATCTGCAGGTAGAACCAAGTAGGGGGAAAAAGACAGCAAAGTTACACTGATCTGTAGCTTTAAACATCACAAAGCACAGCGGGACCACAAGCTCGCTTAGAAAAAACAGGCATATGTGTGTGTGTACAGTATGTGCGTCTGTCTGGATTATGGCTCTGTTAGTTTACACAGTTCTCTGTTTTTTTAGACTTGAAAGAAATGAGGAGCTACTCCAAAGAGCTCCAAGTTGGAAACACATCAAATATTCCTCCTCCTTTCTTCCTTATTTCTTTCAGTCTATGGAAAAAACATGCCCAGTATCTTAGTCCATCTTTTATAACTTCATACACTGTGTTTATTTGACGCTAGATTTGCGCTGGGTAAACTATCCCACAGACACAGAATAAACACAAAAGCATTACATCTCGGGACGGAAGTGGGCAGGGTTGAAATACAAACGAATTGCTGACCTTATCAGTCTTTGTTTTGTCATCTTTCACCACGCTCCAGTGCTGGCCGTCGTCACTGTAAGACACTTTGTAAGATGAAACAAACTGCACATTCCCAAAGTCTTTAGCCCCCTGTGTGATGATTCCTGTGATCCGCTTAGGCGACAGCAAGTCCACCTGAAGCAATGATGAAAAAGGAAAGGAGTTAGAAAACAAAGGACAGAGAATTATGGACAGCTAGAACAAATCATTCCTCAGTGTACTGTTTACAAGAACACAGTGTCTCACAGTGTCTCATCATCACTAATCATCATTTTTACCAGTAGTAACACAGATGTCATAAACTTTAATAATATTTGGAAGGTCATACTGAGAAAGCAAAGCCTATATTGCTGTCTTGAACTCCCAGCCACAGACTGCTATGACATCACTGCGGACAGAACTCAGGATAACTCAGGACAACTTTTTAAATATTTACCATAACTTCTTTTAATTTTTACATATTTTAAATATGTTATTTTCAACTTACACCTAAGTTTCAGATTAGTTATTTAATAATTTACAGTAGTTAAAAAAAACCTTTTAAAGTCTTGAAATTAATTAATGAATAATAAGCCTAGAGTTTAGGGGCAAAGCTTGGTTTAAATTACACTTTTGGGGGTCCTCCTTTGACCCTTCAGCTCTATGATTAAAACATTAATTTGTGTCATACTAACATGCTTTCTCCTCTAAGGTGATGACTCAACCAGATAATGGCATATTTTTGAGGACATTTTTTTTACAAATAGTTTATTTTGCTTGTGTAAAGAGTGACAGTCACCTGTAGCCACTCAGATCTGCTGTTGGTGGCAGCAGTCCAGGCATTGGTCTTGCCCTGCTTGTCCAGACGGGCGTAGTGCGGGTGCCAGGTGAAGGCCTCGATGCCCCACGTGCGGAAGGAACTGGAGCTTGTTAGCTGACTGTCGCCAATGAGCCGCGACTTGAAACCCAGTGGCTCTGAGCAACCTGTTGTGTTCAAATACACTGTGGAGTGAGACACGGGGAGAGAAAGGGCGAGAGAGAAAGAGAGGGAGAGCGCAAGAGAGCGAGAGAGATGCACAAAGAGCCAGAGAGCGAGAAAAAGAGAGGGAAGGAAGGAGTGATAAAGAAATGGATGGGAAGCGTATCAGCACAAGCAGCACAAACGAGATGGGAGCTGGCTCGGCCGTGGAACGAGCACAGGCTTTATGCAGGTTAGCAGTGTCGGTATTGTGTGTAAGATGGGGTGTGTGAGAAGCACATGCACACAAGTGCTGCCAGTGTGTGATATATGCATGTGGGTGAGATGGATCGGCCTGAGAGAGACACACACATTCACAGTGAGGCTCAGCTTGACAGCATTAACACAGCACATACACTGCTTCCAAAAGGCCTGAGAACAATTAAACACACCCATGTTTCAATCATATCTAATCACCATAATAACCAAACATCCAAACATTTCTGCTACTAATGGTACTTCTGACCAGACACTAGCAACAAATGAAAAAATATAAATTCTCAGAATGGAATGTGCTTCACATTCACTGTTAGCACATGTTGGTTCTGTTTCAATTTTTAGTCGGGTGTTGTAAATAGAGCCAATGTTTACGAAGTTTTTTGCACATAGAACATTAGTTGGCTTAAGTCCCAGGTTGGACAGAGTCTCAGCCTTTGACTTGGCTCCACAAGCAGTACAGATTCTTGACTTAACTCACATAGTCACAATGGCATACGTGGAAGTCTGTCATTCTATTTGCTATAGTTGTGTTGTGTATCTCCATGAGTGGATTCCTTTGGATCCATTCAGATAAGTAATAATTCATATAATTTCCTTACAGTTACTTATGGAAGGCCTGAGTCTCTTGGGTAATTACATTTCCACTACTATTCAGTTAAACTGGATAGTGTTTCAGTGTTTACCGTTAAGTTCGCAGCCCACTAACTCCATCCTCAGGGTGCAGGCTTTGCGGCACACCAGGGGCAAAATGCGGATGTACTGAGCTATTATGGGTGGGTCAAACAGGTTGGTCTTTGTGCCATCATTGTCCACATTTCCCACAAAAACCTGGTGAAGCAGATGAAATTCATATTAAACACCCATGTTGAATACCACATCATCAATTTAGTGCTGAAGGGCCAGGCAGTCCAGCCCTACAGAAGCAAAACTGATGACCTGATCTGGAGCATCATTGAGTATGAAATTGTGTCAGAACATTTAACTCACCGTATCCCTCTTCTGGTCCTCAGCTCTATAGGTGGTGTATGTACGTCCATCCAAACTGGAGGCCACCTTGAAGGATTTGACATACTCAGCAGTGCCCATACGGCTAGCACCCTGGGTGATGATGCCAGTGAAACGCATCTTCCTTTGCATGTTGATCTACACATACAAACAAAAGACAAAATCAGACAAGATGAACAACACATGGACTGTTGTTGGACCCTCAAGTGTGTTTATGTGGCTGCATTGTCTGCACTAAGTTGCCAGTTTATCACCTACACTCAAATAATATCTGGTGAGCGGTGGTTCTACAGTAGTACAGTGGTCCCTTTCCATTGATGGACAGGTTGGAGTGCAACTATACAGTACATATACCTGATAAAATGGTCAGTGAGTTTAGGTACACGGTATGTGTACTTCATAAACTGGCAACTCACTGTACATAACCAAGTGTCATTTTAAAAGCCAGAACAGCACACCTCGATCCAGGGGTTCTTGTCATGCGAGGCTGAGGTCCAGGCATTCACTAGGCCTTTATTGTTGAGACGGGCCAGCTCAGGCCCCCAGCGCTGCAATCCCAAGATGCCATAGTGGACAGAAGAGGCAGAGATTTGAGACTCGGCTATGCCGCCACCCTCCAACCCCAACAGAGAGATACAGCCTGCAGGACAAAATGACACATTATCAGCCTGTCCACGTGTGCAGGAGACAGACAGCAAGGCAGACAGATGGACTAACAGTGTGAAGACCACGCTCATGGGGTGACATACACATACAACCATGGATAGACAGCAATGTCATCAAGAAAAATAGAGCCTTTAAAGTAAGAAATGGAGCCTAAAAACAGAGCTTAGTAACTCGATAGCATATTTGAAATTAGAAAGAATATTTAAATTTGAAAAAAGCGGAACTGTTCAGGAACATAATACAACTCTTTTTTTAAACATTTAAAACATTAAAATAAAAGTGACCCAATATGATAAGTACTAAAGAATAAAACTGTGCTGTTCCACTCACGCAGTTGGCAATGCTTTCCGACATAAGGTGATGGGCATTTGCAGGTAAAATCTCCAGCAAGATCTCGGCACTGACCCCCATTTTGGCATGGCTGACCTGCACAGTCGTTCACGTCTGTAAACAGCAGATGAATCTGTATATTAATACTGTATATCAGTAAAATCTGTATATCTTTTAAGATTTCTGTGCAAAAACAGATACTGATGTACTCATTGACGATGCAGTTCTCTATATGACCTAGAGATGGCACTCTAGTCATCAGTAATCGGTCACACCAATAATTTCTCTCTCATCATCGCCTGAAAATCATTATCATTAGATTTATGCTCAGATTATGCTTCCGGTCCTATGTGAGCCTTCGTAAAGTATTATGAAGGCCTACAAAGAACGTGATTCAGAAGTTTAGACTTAGTGTGAGCACACCTAATCTAAGGATCTTTCTTATCTCCTGTCATAAAGAACCCTTATGGAAATTCAGGCTGCGCTGGCTTGTCTTCAAAGCAACCTGAAGAGAATCCACTCCATGAAAGACTGAAAAATACACACAAGCAGGGTGCAGTATAAACCTAGACTCAGGCAGGCCCTCCGTGATCATTCAACTGTGGCTGCCCCGTAAATAAAGAGGATAGAGCCGTCTGAAAGGACAGTAGACAGCAGTTGTAGTGTGGTTCCTAATCCACTTATTGAATAAAAGAGTGAAGACCTGATCCTGGGAATGCTGTACACAGACTAAAGTCACTGAAATGCATATATACAAAACATTGACGGTGGACTGTAAATGTAAAAAGCTTCACTAATCAAATCACTAGAGACATAAAATACCTAAAGCTTGGAGATCAGGAGAGTGACCCAAAGATGGAGAGATTGTTTTTTTAAACCAGAGACCTGCAATTCAAAACAATGTGGCAACATTCATCCAGCACAGCAACAAGCCACTCTAACAAACCCACGCTGATAACAGCAGCACCCGTGACTCCGCTGTGAGGCCAAGTAAAGCCGGTAATGGAAACTTCTAGAAAAAAAATGCAGGAAATCAGAGGATTATGCGACTCTGTGTGCAGATGGAGTGTGTGACTGGTCACGGCCTCTGTGAGCCAAGACAGTAATGAGAAGCTGAAACACGCCCAAACTCCACAGGTCAGGCAGAAACAGCTAGTGCTAAAGAGAGCTTAAGTGAAACCGTGAATAAACTGCTGTTTATGTAACCACTTTGACTACAAACCAGTGCGCTGAACAGGTGGTGATACACAAGTCAGACCGCAGGTTCACTGGATATAAGCACCACTCTGACATTAAAGTATTACTTAAAGAAACACAAACATAGTAAGAGAATCACAGGGATATCACACTCCAGTGTTTCTTGTATAGTTCATATTTCAACAACTTCTTTAGGAAGTGATCACTCTGGGAGAAGTAGGAAGAAATCCCCAATATTAGGAAATGAGACCTTTCCATGGTTCACCCACAAATGCGTTCTTTCATAGCTACTGCTGTGAAGCTGGCAAATATTACACTCAACCTAATGATTGTAGTGATCTATGTTTAAAGGTCACTGAATTTCCAATTAACATTTGGTGATATTTAATAACAAATACAGTGCAACATTCAACACACGATATTGTTATTGTGGACACTTTCAGATACTGTCACACCATTTTAATATTTCAGTTTCACCAAATATTGTTATATGTAAAGTACCATTGGTTTCACAAAGTCACACTATGCTGTTACTTTGTAATCCTATACTTTGTTTGATGTTTGTGGAGCTGCTTTAGTGTGTTATTGGTCTCAACACCTTACAGTTCACGCTAAGCGTTGCAGTACTATTTCATAATCAATGTGCTATCTACAGTACCAAAGGTCTACTATCCAAACAAAATAATCTAAGGCAAAGACATGATGCCCATTAGGAATTTGACAAAAATAAAAAAATCCAGAAATGAATGATGACTGCCATTACACTAGAGAAGTTTCTATCCAAGATAGAAATGCCCGAAATGTATAACCACCGCCAAATGAGTGTTTTCTTTCTTAATACAATAGAATGATAATATCATACACCATGATGGAAGGTTTGACAATTGTCCCGATATTAAATTAAATCAGCAATGCCTAATTTCCAGTTTAAAATGCTGAGCTGGACTATGTGGTTGTAGCTAATTAGTCAGATGTAACAACTAATCAGGTTGGAAATGACAGTGACAAATTCACTTTTCACACGCATACAAAATTATCATTTGAAACTGAGACCATATAATGTTTTTTCAGAATCAGCAATGCTACTTCTTTCAGTTGTAACAAAAAAGTTAGAGCAGCTTTTACAGTTGAAATCAGCTTCTAGGAAGGGGATCAGTGGTGGACAGACTGTGATCCTTCAGACAGACAATTTGACCCTTTGTGGGCCGAAAGGCCCACTATAATGTTCTTATGTTCTTATGGGGTCTGTTCCTATTATAATAATTATTCTTAAGAAGAACAAGTGACTAAAAGGGGCCTTGCAAAACAGAGCTGAGGACTAGTGCTTGGTCATCCAGTGAGATGTAAATAGAGTGATCGTGATAGGACATGTACCATCTTTAGGACAGGTTGCCTAGGTTGCAGAGAGAGAGAGCGAGAGAGAGTGAGAGAGAGAGAGACAGAGAGAGAGAGAACAGCTGTTTCACTCCAAAATATTCAGTGTGGTATAATATGAGTGAACATCAATAGGAAATGTTGGCTGCTGCATGAAAGCCGATACGGATCTCATGACAGTTGCACTGTGACCCTGATCGATACGAAGCAAGGTCAGCAGGCTTCAGCATGTGATCGAGGGAGAGGAACGTTAGAGCGAATGAAGCTGCTGAGCAGGCTGCTACTTATAACTGAGGGAGTGGAGCATCTGAGAGAACGGCCATGCAGCAGCAGGATGGGGTTCAACAGAGGGAAGCTTTTAAATCCCTCCAGAGTTCGCCGCCACCATAACGTCTTGTGATTGCTAGTCATGCAAAGAGACCCCTGGCAGCATTATCTGTAACAAGATTAAAGAGAGTCTGGCTGACTGTAGCGAAGGTGCCCCTCAGGGACGTGCTTTAAGATGTGTGCACCGAGTTCACACAGGGGGACTCATCTGTAATAAAACTCTGGTTGCTTCACTGCTCAATTTCTAAAGCAAGCTAATGAACAGAGACTAATGTAAACTGTCCAAATTATTGTCATGAAGATGTTTCTGTTCATTTGAGAGTGAAGAGGTGAGACAAGGGCTGCACAATATATCGTTTGTTAGTCACTATCATGATACTGTCTTTTGCAATACTGATGCTGCACAAGGCAAAAGTATACAAAAAAGAGTCCTCTAAAACAGGCCCTTTGCATTTCTACACTGATAATTAGCTCCACTTTTTTAACTTTCGTGATTGTAATAAATTACGTTACAATATGTTTTTCTGAACTGGTAACTGGTTCTGCTAGATAGGCCAACTGAAAAATAGTCGCTGAAAATAGTGCTGTTCAGGACAGCACAGCTACGGTTATGTACCACATTGAAAGCAAACATGCAAGCAGAAAAAGACAATTAGTTCGCCCATGTTTTCTGAGAGATGTGATGCATGACAGTGTGAGGAAATGGCTTTCAACAACTACTGTGGTACACAAACAAACAAAGCTGCTCCAGTCATAGTGTTTACTTGTTTTAAACTTGGGCTAAAAATTAGTGGAAAATATAACTTTAAAATTGTCCAATATAGAATCTTTAGTAGCCCATCACTATATATTCCAGTCATTTTGTCAATGTTCTAGTGTTTTGGTCATATAGTTAGGAACATACTAGAATTATGAGCCCCCAGTTTAAACAAAGCAGAGTTCTTATGTAAGGTATGTTTAATAAGATCTCGGTCTGTTTTCTACACAAGGAACACTTTTTAATAGCTCAGTGCATCAATACAGAATTCAGTTGGTGTGTATGGTCATAAGTGAACATATCAATATTTTAGCTCAGCCAATCAGATTTCAGAATCAGAACTAACTAGTTTTATAATAGATACTTTGATGGGTTATGTTCTTGATTTTAGGCTTGCCAGTTAACAATTAATGAAACGTTAGTTTCAGTCAAACTAATTTGAAAAAACTGCATCTCTGTTACAAAAAGAGCACAATTAGGTCTGTTTGATTGGATTTTGTACAATGCAGTATGTGAAACATTGAATGAAAAATCACTGTACTAGTTTTATTTTAATATGCCCCTACTGGGACTTTTTTCTCATCCAACTTATCAAATAAATAATAAAACTAAATATTGCCCACTCTATTAAATTGGATAGATTTTTATTTCTTTTGTGTGTTCACAATATCTGTTTTAAAGACCAGTATCTCGTTCCCCTCAAATATCAAAGCAAAAGGACAAGAATAACAGGAGTGGAGAAAGGGTGTGAGAAAAATGAGCGAGAGAGAGAGAGGGAGAGAGAGGGAGAGAGAGGGAGAGAGAGAGAGAGAAAGAGAGAGAGAGAAGAGAGAGAGAGAGAGAGAGAGAGAGAGAGAGAAAGAGAGAGAGAGAGAGAGAGAGAGAGAGAGAGAGAGAGAGAATACTCTGAGAGAATCTGAGAAATTTAGCGAGACAGACCGTGAGGGAAAACAAAACATTAGCTCGAAGCTCTCTTGAAAAAAGTCCAATTCAGTCAAAGCGTCACAGAACAGATGTGTTTAACAACTTATTTATGCAAAAATATAGTGTTCTGTTTCCACTCAACCATGTACCTTATTCTGACTTATTCTCTCATACACAAACACTGACTGCTCCTTCGACACGTCCCCACTTCCAAAAAAGGAGGTTTTAGTGCTTTGGTGAACCTCTGCTGTGAACTCCATACTATTTCAGTCAGCCGAGTTAATGTGGCTAATACTTCAGCGCGTAAAAGCTTTTGACACAGATTTCATGGTCTCGCAGAGCTTTCAGAGCAATTTCACACTGGCAGTGTAACACTCCCATCAGCCAAGAGGAAAGACTGTGACACTGTCAGAGTTGACTTAATTCACTCTTCCGCCTCCAACTCCATTTTACCCCAGCAACAAGGCGAGTGTGCGCTGGCGTGGGTGTGTGTAGACCTCTCCCTGTTGGCTGGACAACCAGGAGACGTCGGTGTGTGCGTGCGTTTTCCCAGTGTGGATGTGTGTGCGTTTATTTAAATTTGCGCTGCCACCAAGTTTGTCTCTAAAGTATGCAGTGCGTTTCTGTGTGTGTCTGCTCACACACGTTGTACTCATTCCTGTCTGATCCTGAAGGTGAACGAGATTCAGACGCTTCTCTTCTCTGTCTCCAAGGCTTCTAAATATTCGCCTCAGAGCTCCAAAGCCTCCGTGATCTTTAACCACCGTCTCCAACCACAATCTAAGGATGAGGCTCGCTGTTAACACCCACACGCAATTAACGAAGCCCAATCAAAACATCATAATTCTGACACCGCAAGCTGGAAATAGACAGTAAATTGACACTGAAGGCCAGAGCTCTCTCATCAGAACTGGAGAAATGAGGAAGCTATTGCTGTTAACTAAAGAATGCTGTAAAATTTAAACATAATTTTTATGTTTAATTATAGGAGGATTTCCAGCCTCATTCTTTTCTGCACCTAAAGATCAACTTCACTCACATCTGAGATCATCCAAAGTATGAACCTTAAGATAATATGTTTACGATAATGTGTAAGATAATATGATAATATGTACTTATACACATGTAATTCATGTGTATTGGGCTGAATGATCAATCATTTTTATCAAAAACATAGTTTTAAAAAGTGCAATTTTCAAATTGCAAGAGCAGCAAATTTAGTTATATCCTTCATTATTCAATGTTGTCTTAAGTTTTAATTTGGCAAATTTAACCTAATAATGCAGAGCCTGTGAACTGGCAGTCTATCCCACTACATTCAGCACCCATAAAAGAGATGTGCTGGTCTTCTTGGTAAAAAAAACTTTATAGTTTATAGAAAATAATCACATTTTCATTGCAATTGCAATATTAGTCAGAAAAGTCAAATTATACCTCCCCCAAAACGTTCAGCTCCATTTGTTTATAAATACTCTAATACATATTGTCGCTGTTGGAACAATGCTTCTAAAATGATGACTTGCAGGAGAAAAAAGAATGTTAAAAAGGGCATTTCTGCCTTAATGTAGCATGTAATGTGTTAATTGTTGTGTTATGTAGTATTCTGTAGTGCAGCACTGCAGCCTCATCAGTTCACAGAATTCACAATGTTGTATTTTTGTGTTTTCATTCATCAGTGTTTTCTCACTACAATGGGCTACATGCATTGCACAAATACACTGCAAAATCACTGGCACGCTTGACAAATCCTGACTGCTCATCACTGATCTAGAGGCTGCTAAATATATCTGTGGCACTAACAGGCATCAGTGACACAGCACAAACATCAATTGTTTAAGTTTTCTATTTGTTTAAAGAATAATTCAGCTGAAAAAAGAAAGACAAATTTAAACAGCCTACTTCCATGTACTTGCCAAAGCACTAATAGTCTTTCAAAATTTTTCACAAGGGGGTTTTCTGCATGTAAGTATGTTTACAATGCATGTGGCAATGGTTAAACTTATCATTATGACCAGATATTTATCTTAATGTTTATTTACCAGCAAAAACACACTAATCACCAAGACACATGCTTTTAAATAATGTGCTTGGGACTTTCGCATGGTACTGTATATATGTAAGTAAAGTGATGATATAGGAAAATAAACTGCGTATATCTACGTTCTGTTTTTCAAAAAATCAATAATCATGGACTGGCTTTATGATTACATTTCTGATGACGCATTTCTGGCTAATATCAGTAGCTTCATCCCGATGTGTTTGAAGCCACAGGGCTGTGTGCATGCACATGACTGTGCAGTTTGCGAGCTGTGATGATTCCTGCTGACGACAGCAGCTCAGTTTGCCCCTGCGTTGCCCCAAAGCCAGCAATAATAACAAACAATGAGTCAGAGTGCAGAGAAGGAAGTGCCACTGCACTGCTGCTGCTTCAGAGAATTTGCCATCTGCCCCTGGAACATCCTGAGAACTTCTGGGGCTAAAGCAGGCCTCAGTATTTCACTGAGCCAATCAAACGCTCAGTTCAACAACAGCTGCATCTGATCCTCTGTCCTAGTTATTGTGCAAATACTGAGTTGCACTGATAAGAAGTCTCTTGTTACATCATAGCCACAATTGCAAGCTTATCGTTATCAGACTGTGTAGGCATGTTATGGTTTTTCAGGAAAATTCTATCATATGGTCTGTAAAGAGATGTAAAGTGTTTCTTACTGTTCTGGCAGTGAATGCCCTCAAAGCCTTTTTGGCACCTGCACACATAGCTGCTAAAGACGTCCCCTCTAGGTGAGTTGGCAATGACCTCACAGATGCCATCATTTTTGCAGGGGTTTGGATGACAGGGCCCTGTGATCAAAGGTCAAAACAAAGGTAAGAACAGACATCACACATAAATAACACCACTGAAACTTTGTTCAGCTAGCTTAAAAGTGGAAACACTGCCTCTTCGCACAGCAGGAGACTGCTAAGTGCATTACCAGCCTGAGTCTCATTGCAGGTCTCTCCTGTGAAGCCATCTGAGCAGATACAGATAAAGGGATCCTTCCCTGCTCCTGTCACACATGTTCCTCCATTCTGACACACATTTACTTTGCAGTAATCACCTGAGAAAAATAAATAAATACACATAGTCACCAACAGAATTAAGATTAAATGAATGCAGCATTCAATTTTTTTTAATGCTGCATGCAGTTGCTAAGTGTTCTAAAGTACTGATGATACCCATTTTCACAGAAGGGGGGCAATATGTTATCATGGTAAATACAATTTTCAGAGTATATCATGGGCATCACCAGTGCTTTCAGAACACTAAACATCCACCATCATGTACCAAAAAAGGTCATTCAAAAGACAAATACATAGAGTACACAACAACAACCACCAGTGTATAGCAAGCACATTAACTACACTGTAATAAGATGCTGACAGGATGTTACATTACAATATAATGATATTTTATCAATTTCTCTTTTACCAATTGTTTTACCTCACAAGCTTGGAAAAATGAAATAATGTCATATTGTATCATGGAAATATCATAAAATATCATGATTTTCTAAAAACATCACCAACTAAGGATATTAGAATATCAGAATCATAACGGTATCAGCAAATAACTGCTTTTATAGAAAATTATGTTTAGATTTGCAATATTTCAAACTGATATTGATGATGCACTTATTGTCCTCTGGAAGAGCATAATGTTTAGCTGACCCTGGGCTAATACACTTAAATGTCTGTGTTTTATTCATCTTACTGCATTTGTATCCTAATAGAAATCAATGTTATATTTCTCTGTAATGCTAGACCAGGTGGATTTAGTCCCAGTTTTTACATTTTCTAAATGTTTAAGCATCAGCATCGGTACTGGTATCGGCAGATAAGTACATGAAAAAATATCGGATGTCAGCATCAGCACAAAATTGTCATATCAGCGCATGCCTAACACTAGGCTTCATTTCCACATGTGAACCTTTTCCAGATTTGATTTAACTGCACTGGATTTTTCCCCAGGATGTGGTAATAAACAATATTTACGGTTTATATGCACTGCAAAACATAACAATTGCACTAAGTTAAAATTGTTTGGTTCACTTTACTCATCTGTTACACATACTAAAATAAATCTGGCAACATGCACTACTACTTGCATAATCCTTAGTTTCTTAGGTAAATCTAGCTAAGATCAATTCCTACAGACTAAAGAGTCTGCTGCCCCATTTGAGTGCTCAGAAATGGCTCAATGTTGTCTTATCCATTTTTTCATTAAGGTATTAAAAAATGGATGAGCCAATTTGCAGTCATTTGTTCATTACTATATGAAGCAACCATTTAAAATAATTGAGTGTTTTCAGTGTTGATACCAGTGCATTGCACACAGATGAATATTTACAGCAAACACAATTATATGAGATATAAACCTTGAGAGTAAATAGAACTCGAAAAAGCGGAGTACTGCCCGCCCAACTATTTAATATTATTGGGTTGTTTGAGTTAACTTGCTGATGAAATGTGTATCACTGAAAAATAGAAAGCACCGACAACTAAAACATGAAGCTTGAAACTGCTAAGTAACTTAATTTTTTCAAGCCAATAAGTTTCCGTGACTTTTTAAACTAAAGTCAACTAAATTAAGTTTACAGTGGGGTATTAACCTTTTATTAGCTATTAATTGTGGCTAAGCATTTTCTGTTCGCTCTGAAAAGAGAAGTGGAATCAACACTGGACACCACAATGAAGCCTAGTGTCGCTCAGGCTGGACCGAGACCACTGTGTGCGTCTGCACTGGCCCAGAGTGCTGACGAGGCTCATGCATGACACAAGTGCTAGTTGCTTCTATGAAGGCCACAGCATTGTGTCCACTGGTCAGCTGGTTACTCAAAGTCTAGGCATGTTTATCTGGGGCAATAAAATGTTACAAAAAATGTGCCACAGAAAATAAGTGTTTAGCCTTCCCTGTGCTGAAGAAAACTATGTTTAGCATTATTTTGTTAATGCTCCTAAATCAAACGGAGCAAAAAAACATCTGCAGACACCGTGGCTCTGTAAAATGGTTACTATCATCTCCAGGCAAGGGCAGGGAGGTAAATTTAGACCCCTAAGTGCAGACCCTTAGCATGAGTTATAACTCTCAGGCGTCTAGCCCACGTTCCCACAAATCCACCATGAAAGTGACACTTCAGTAAAAGACTCTCAATTTCCTGTCCTCCCTTGGCACGGTTTCAAAACATAAGGACTGAAAGGCGCGGCTGATTCAGGGTAAAGTCCTGCTGATCTGGCCATTAATCTAAAGAAGTACATGCAGGCTTTTTTATAATAGTTTTTCAGTAGGATTAAAAGAGTTACACCATCAGATGTTCTTTGAGGATCCTTGTTTTCTTCATTGGGTTATTCATGAGATGTTATTGCTTCTGGAGGAATGATGTGGCCTTGGCCTGAATAGACATAACATCCTTATCCAAATGTCTTGCTTATTTATCTATGGCTTGGAATGCATCATCACACCAGACAGCTAGGGTACATTCCTACCCCCATTCCTTCACACTCAAAAAAATGCACAAAACTAATTCTTCTAAGAAATGGCTCTGAAAAATCTCCTAAATCAGAAGTAATTAGCAGGATCTCAAAGATTCATGTTTGGCTTTATCTCAAACCAACACAGAACATCCTCTGATCTGCAAAAGTTACAGAAAACCTGCAGCATCTGCGAAAGCATATGGCAGGTCAGCCAGCCTGACACCATAAATTGCCTTGGAAACCTCCTGTTAAGCACATAAACCTTCTGTAATAACCAAAGCAGGCTCTTCTTTAAAAATGATGACCTCAAAGAATCGTTTCTAATGAAACATAAGGGGCTTCTGCTGACTGGTTGTATTAAACATAAGGGGAAGTGTGGTGCTGATAATTCGTAACTGAGTGCACGAAGAAGCTAGATTCACTTCTTCTTTCATTTCCAAACAATACTGTAAAACTGTTTTATTAACTGTCACTATCTTACATACGAGAGGACACGAGGTTACACTGAAAATTATTTCACCACATGAGTATATAAGGAGAATGCCAGACACACAAACAGATGCATCATGAAACTGCTTTTAGCTACATTTTAAAGACCAATAATTAGTACCTTCACATTGCAAAACATCAGGAAAGTGAACACACGTTACCATAAAAAGAAAGTTGTTTTCTATTTGTCATTTAACCTCCTCTGGACACTGTTCATATTGCTCATTTAATCTGGATTAGTTTCCTTTTCCTAAATTATTTCTTTACTTCCTTCGCCATTAACAGCTATAGGCTGCAGCACACCACACAGAAAGAGGATGCATCAGCTGCAAAATCTGTTTGATCAAGTGAAACTGATCTGATCAGCATCTCATCAGCTGAACTGCCCTTTTGATCAGCAGCTGCAGCAGCAGTCAGGCGAGAGGAAGACTGGATAACTCCCACAGGCCCTCACAGTGGCCACTTGAAGCTTTTCCAGCTCATATTGGCGTACACTAAACAAGTGTAGGAAAGCCGTTTCATGAATTATATAGGTGTGTTTGTTTTTTTTTCCATAGATGTGGAATTCAAGGTAGGACAAAAAGGCTACAATGGAGTTCCCTGACACAAAAGTGTCCTCCAAAAGAGCACAAGGCTGTTTTTTGAGCCAGCAGAGAAGATGAGTAATATGTTCTTATTGTACCAAATTATGGTACCAAGCCCTTTCATGCCATATGACTCATAAATCACTGCTCCTGATGGAGTGGCCCCAGAAAACACACAGATCCAAATAAGTCAAAGTAAACATTCCCATGACAAATACACTCATGGTTTAATGCTACTTAATGTTGCTGCTCGGATACACATAACATATAAATCCAAATAACTACAAAAGAAAATGACACAGGATCAAAACAAACAATGAAACTATGAGGTCTATGGCACTCGTACATCATACATCTGATGTGACTTTCACACTATGATCATAGAAAGGGCACCTACTACTTACTACCTTGCTACAATCCATGGACTGCAAGAGTAAAATACTTACCAAAGCTGTTGAAAAGCATAGTTTACAGTGAATGAAAGTGAATAGCCAAAGATTTGCATTATGCAAATTACATAATGCTATTTGACAGTTACTGGCTTGTATTCATTGTTAGCAATATTAGCATATCCAGTTGAGCTACTTCTTTAACTACATGAGTCATTAGCACAAAGAGTCTTGAAGTCTGTCATCAGTAATCTCCTGAGGGGATCACGCATGTTTTGGCCAACAGAAAACCTTCCACAGTCATATTAGTAACAAGTGGAAAACAACAACAGATTGTGGAGAGCAGCACAAACACCACAAGTTTTGGGAATGTATGGGATCGCCTGAGCGTTTGGGATGGACTGAACACTCTTAAAGATTAATTCCACTAAATTCTCAAAGTTTTTGCATATTTCAAATAATATAAACAAAAGCGTTCACAGTAATTTGATGTGAAATGGTCACCGCAGAAAAACTTGCCAACTCAGATTTCTACTTTTTTATATTTGTGGTGATAGGAACCAGGGATCATACGGCCATTCAATGTCCTTTCCAAAAACATCAGTGAACCTACATGTGTCTTCTGAGTTTTATATATAACACTGAAAATAGTATAATAGTGGCACATCTGGAAAAAAATACTTAGGTCCTATTTTGTCTTTAATATCCTGTATCTCTCCCCATGAACAGATTAAAAAAAAATACATCAGTCAACATATTTATAATCCTTTCATGTAATAGCTTCCTCTGTGGATGCTTTTAACCACTTCAGGGGTCTGGTTCCTTTCACCACAGCTGTGAACAACTCTGACTCTAAGTTTCTCTAGGATGGCGCATATGACCTCAAGCCACTCTGAATAAAATTTTGAAAAATTCCCCTTTGATGACAGGAAATGGGAGGAGATGCAAAAGTGTACTGTCAGACTAAACGGACAACAACAAGTCGGACTAAACTGATTAAATCCACCAACTGGTCAGCTTTAAAAAGTCTCTTGGGATTTGAATATGCAGTTTTTCCCCAAGCAAGAATGCTGATTTATATCACCAACGCAGTACAAGGACTCTTCAAGTCCACTCTATTCTATGTACATGTGCGTGTCGTGTGTGTGTGTGTGTGTGTACGCAAGTCCCAAAGGCTAAGCAGTGCGCTTGCTTAACTGCACGGTCATTCACACACCACTTAACATCCTGACATGCCCAACACACTGCCCTGTGGAGTTCAGTGTCCCAAAACAAAAAAAGAACTAAAGAACTAGAGCGCACACAAAATGCCTTCCAGATTCAGCTCTACAGAACCCCTATTACCACCTGCCTACAAAAACCTGGCGTGCACACAATTTCTTTCACAATGTATGCATGCATAAACAAGTAAGCAAAACTGAAGTAAAAATTAATAAATAGATAAATGACAAAATAAAAAGGTGAGGATTACAGAGTTACATCTGCAGGTGAGATTTCAGTAATATACAGGCACTTCTCCAGAACAGCACAGCCATCTGCTCTCAAAAATAAACCACAACAACTAAAAATACTCTATGACGTACAGAGAAACCAACTATTCTCCAGGCAACACACATACAGCAGCTAACATTACCTTACTTACCTATACCAACACCAAGACATAAGAGTCTGACCCATTTTACACTAGAATGGAACCCCAAAATAATAAAATATGAATAAATTATGCATACCTTGGTAAATGATCAAAAGAAAGAAGGCTGTCACCAAAGTTGGGAAAGTGTTGGGTGCATGGGAATAATCGTTTTAAAAATTCAACATAGCAGATTGGAAAGTGGGGCAAGAGACAGAGACAGAGGGGACCCAAATGAAAAATGCCATGTTGCGATGGCTAAAAATGAAACATTGATTAGGCCCTATCGAAAACTAATCCGGGAGGAAGAAGGCCTGATTGGGCTTGGCATTAGAAGTAAAGTCATTGGAGCAAATGAGCTCGTCCCCTGAGGAAAAGACCCCCCTGCCAGATGGCAAAGGCCACGCGACAGCTTTCGAATGGTTACAAAAGAGAGGCGCGAGAGGCCGTATGGTCGCTATATTTAGAGTTCACTCCCTTGGCCAGCCAGAGAGGCCTGCGTTTGTTTCTTTGGCGCTGGAGGAAGATGGGACTCTGATCAGAGAACTTTTACCATTTCTCTCCCAACAAAAGCAGAGGTTAAGAGTTTGGATGAAGCAGTGGGGCTCTTAGATCAGAATATATGGGAAATTCTACCCTCACTGATTTATCAAGTGTTTGTGCGAGCCTCCCATCCAGTTTCTGCACACAGCGCAACAGCATGGAGGAGAGTGGCACTTCTCTCAGCTCAAGTGTGAACAAAATGAAAGAAAAGAAAGCAGCAAGACGGATGTCCTCCTCCAAGGCATACTCTCTAGGTCAACAGCCACATATCTAATACTTTATCAGGGCGTCGCCCGGATACTGCTTTATGGGGCAGCACTTGCCAAAAACACCAAATCTGAGAGGAAAGTGAGCCTGCGCTGGCAGTGGTACTGGAAGGGCACTGTAAGTGCAGGCCGGCCCTGCTGCACTGGTCATTAGTGGCAGGATGTGCCCAGGCTTTGCCGGGCTCTGCTGGATGTTTCAGTGGCCACAGCCATGGGATGTGACTCAGTGTTTCGGTCACTGAGCCACACCTACAAACTGCAGCCAAGCCATGGCCTCAGGCACAACGGCACTTCTGCAACAAATGCAAAAAATAGTTTAACATAAATAACAGTCTAACAAACCCAGTTATAAAAAGACTGTCTCACTTTTCACAAAGGACAAGCAAAAATCAATCACCAGCACTAAAAAAGTAGAACTAAAAAACGGGGCCACTCTCTGTACCTCGCCAGGCTAATAAAGCAGACCATAAAGGAACGGACACAAACAAATAAGTCTCCTCCACTACAGCCTGAACAGGCAGGGAGGGCTCTTCTTGCCTTCAGGTCACTGAAATCAGGACATAAAGACTCCTCAGCACTCAAACGTCCACACAGCAACAAAGCCATGTGCCAAAAGCATTTATGTACATGCATGGACACACACAAAAGCACCGCGAGATTCTTTAGTTCCCTGTGAAACATGACATTGATGTACTTATGAAAGAAGTCCTTTCTTATCAAATGTAGCCAAGTACATTGTGGCTAAGGCAGTAGAGCTTATTGAAGGGAAAAGAATTTGGCACTATTTTTCTGGCCCATAACTGGTTGAACCCAGCCAGAAAAACTAATAAGTTAGTGTTTACGTTATACTTTTGATCTACCTCAGAACAAAAACACTGCACTGACGAACACAGTATCAGGCTATAAACAGGATACAATAAGAAGAAATATGAGAGTACATTAGCCCACCCCACATATCAACAACTGACTCTTCATTTCCTTCACACTGGTCAGAAAACAAGCTCTCACTGGGCAGCTCTGCTGGCTAGCTTAGCCACACAGGTTAGTAGATTTGTGCCACTCTTCCGACTTCGATACAGTAAGCAACTGTGAGGGTCTGCTGGACGGAAAAAACAAAACTCTACTCACCGCTCACTGCAGAGACGCAAACAAGGAAAAAACAGGCGGCAAAAAGTGGGAAAGAAAGTGAGGAGGCCGTGCAAGTTTTCATGGTGCTCCCTCGAAGCTCTTCCCAACTCTTTGTGGCCGCGTTTCTGTGAGTCGACGTGAAGCTGGATGCCGCGGTGCCTACGGTCAAGATTAAAAAAGCACGGAGGGGGGAAGGCCGCGATATGTGCGCTCGCACGTGTGTTTGTGCTTTCGCCCAATCACGTGCCGAGTTAAGAACGCGGCCACGCCCACATGGGAGGAGTCACAGAGGACGGCTCTGCAGCTCTGCTGCCCACGACCACCACACTGGCATGATACAGTAAACAAAAGCAGGTTGAAAAGAAACATGTAGATTTTTTGTGATAGATTCAGTCACTGCTCAGAATCCCCCCGGTTATAAACAAATAAAGTCACATTTGTTTATTGTATAAATTGAAGCCTAATGACTTTATGAGTTCAAATGTGATAATGGTGTCAATTGGAGCCTAATGGCTTGTATAAAAGCGAATGTGATAATTAGGTGAAAAACCACACAGAGCTGTTATAACACGCCTCTGTCTGCTTTCCACAAATACTTGAGCGCTTAAACGACGCAGGTTAACTGGAGGGTAGATCTGGTTGTGGTCACAGGAAGAAATTATGCAAACACTTTGATGCAAAAGGCAAAAGGAATGAGGAATGGGGCTGGTTGAGGTCACGGTAGTAGGAGTGCTGGGCAAAGATCCTGTAAGTGTGGGCTTGCATGTTGATTCATACTGTGGGCGTCTGATAAATTGTTTAGGCGATGTTCAGTGATCTTAATTGTGAAAAGAAATGAGGCTCATATTCTGCCTCTTTTCTGTGCGTCCTGATTGCTTGCTTGTGTGTCTCCATCTCTGGTGTGCGGGGAGTGAAGCAGCTGCGCTACAAGCTGCCAGAGAAATACTATCAAATTAACTGTGCCCCACAAAGCCAAGACATTTTAAGACAAGGAGAGGCCAATTGTACATGCATGGCTGCGCTACACTCCATTTGGTACAAAATGAAAAATGGCTCATTAATGTCTCTCCAGGCTTTCTGGCTGAGGGCCTATATGAGCCGGTTTCTAAATACCCGTCCTCAGTCATTTCAGCCAACCTCGTTTGATTTGATTGACTATGAAGTGGGGCTGATTTTTCTCCAACGGAGGCTCTAATCTCTAATAGCATAATGGATGTTGGCTGGCGGGAAATCCTGGACCCGGAGCTTGTTGTCAGCCATGTAGGACTGCACTGGAAAGGATTTAACATGTAAAAGGGACACTGTAAGTGTGATTATGTATTGCAGTTAGAATCTGGGTTTCATTTGCAAATACAAGTAGCGTAAATTACAAATACAATCGACGACGACAGCCATGCTCTGTTGCATTATAGCGAACACACTTATGGACAGGAGCACTTGTAGCTGAGGGGAAAATTGTAAACAACTGTTTGAAGGACTGGTGAAGGATTTCAGCTGTTTGTCGCCACCTTGTGATCATCGTCTGTTAATGCACGCAGCGGAAAATGACAACACTAGCCCACCGCCATTGCTACACATACATTGTATGATTTCTTTAATGTGGGTGCGCACTGTACAAAGCAAGCCAAAAGGCTGCGCAATAGGAGAAGGGGTAAGGCAAAGCAAGGCAAGGCAAGTTTATTGATATTGCACCTTTCATACACTGTGGTCATTTTGGAGAACTCCACTGATTTTTCAAAACTTCTACATGATTAAATGGTTGATATATAAACAAAGTCATTCAGATCGGTTAGATGTGAAATGCTCTGTTCTAGAAAACCTTGCCAAGTCAGAATTGTTCACAGCGGTGGTGATAGGAACCAGATGTCTGAAGAGTTTCATGCCTTTGAAAACTCCCTCACAGAAAGTTATTACATGAAATGGTTAGATATTGCTGCCTGATGTCTGACACACTGTTTTATGATAGTTGTTTGATACGGTTTTGGTTTTACTTAAAATGTATTTTACTCCATTTTTTCAGTGCATTCATGGCAGAGGGATATATGCAGGGCGTTGTAAGGCAAAATAGTCCCCAAAGAAAACATATTTTTCCAGATTTATCACTATTTTACCATCATCAACGTTACATATAAAACTCAGAAGACACGTGTAGGTTCACTGGTGGTTTTGAATAGTAAATTAAATGGCTATATTTGTGTTGTAGACATTATGACCCCTCGTTCCTATCACCATCACAGTAAAGAAATCAGTCTGTAAGTTTCTCTATAGTGAACCATTTCACATCAAACCACTCTGAATGACTCCGTTTATGTCTCAAGGACTGAATTATTTAGAAAATTTAAAAAATTGGCAGAATTCCCTTTTAAGTGCTTTACAAATAAGAAAATACAAAGATAATTCAAGAACCCCTGGTTTCTATCACCACCACTGTAAAGAAATTTGAGACTGTAAGTTTCTCTTTAATGCACCATTGTCAACGTTTAAATTATGCAGAAATTTTGAAAATTTGGTGGAATTCTCTTTCTTTAATGCTAGTCAATAATAACCGATAACTCAGAGCTCATTTTCAGGTTGCTGCTGAGGAGCATTGTCTGACACGCAGATGAAAGCTGCTTGAAAATCAGGTAATGATGCCTCCGTGACGCCGTGCCAAACTGCCAAAGATGCCTTAAAGAGAAATTCCGCCACTTTTTCAACATTTCAGAATATTTCAGTTCTTGAGATAAAAGCTAAGTCATTCAGAGTGGTTTGATGAGAAATGGTTCATTATACAGAAACTCTGATTTCTTAACAGTGGTGGTGATAGGAACCAGGGGTCACGATTTCTACCACACAAATACAGCAATTTTATTTACTATCCAAAACCACCAGTGAACCTACACGTGTCTCAGTTTTGTATGTAACGTTGATGATGGTAAAATAGTGATAAATCTGAAAAAATAAGTTTTCTTTGGGGACTATTTTGCCTTACAACGCTCTGTGTGTATCCCTCCGCCATGAACGGACTGAAATAAATGGATCAAAATACATTTTAAGCTATACCTTATCACATAACTATCATAAAACAGTGTGTCAGACATAAGGCAGTATATATTTAACTATCTATATCGATCTATAGCTTTCAGAGGCATTAAACTCTTCAGACATCTGGTTCCTATCACCACCACTGTGAACAAATTTGTCTCGGCAAGGTTCTCTAGAATGGAGCATTTCACATTAAACCACCCTGAATGACTTTGTTTACATCTTCACCATTTAAATTTTGAAAAATTTGGTAGAGTTCCCCTTTAAGGATGTTAATGTGATCATTGCATAAACGTCTTGGCAACGTGCCTGTGCTGTCTGGGTAATTTAGCACGTGTCTTTAATTGTAATGGAGTTTAGCATCGCGATGATATTCAGCTCCGCAGACTGAACACAAGCTTTACCGTATCATTATTTGCAGGCTTTATCTTTTAATAGTCTGTCATACTCAAGTGTGAGGTAAACAAAAAACCCTGACAGTGATTGATTGGTCAGTGACGTGTCTGTGGTGTGACGAGTGTCTCGTATCTATCGCTGCTCAAAAAGCTCAATGGCAGCGTGCACGCCCTGAACAGTGACGTAACGCAGCTCTACACCAATAGGTTTGGGCGGATGAAGCTGCCTTCATCTTAGCAAAGCCAGTTGCTGGGTATGAGTACGCCTCTGCTCTGGTCTGCCGTTGGCGTTCAGCTTGTGTCCTGCCGTAGAGAAGATCAAAGAGGAGTCCTGTGGTAAAAGTGCTAAAAGGAGACTTTGAAGACGTGTCCGCCTGGTCAGTACGAGGCTCTGCACGCTAGAAACGGTGCGTAGTGTTTTCATGCACCCACATCTTGTGGCGCAGCCCACCGCCTCAGTGCTGTGAGCTGCGTTGTTAGCAAGGCAGATGTATTTGAACGTTAGGTTTTCTCTGTAACTGAGGCTAACCCAGTTTAGCCTAATGACCCGTTCTGCTTTGCTAACTGACTCAGCGACTTCAATAAATGCAGTGTCGCTGTGCACTTAAAGACGTGCAAATGCGCTGTCAGATTTGCAAATCACTTGTAGCCTTGTGAGAGTTACAGGGTTAGAGTATTTGGGTCACTCACCATGGTCATTTTTCAGGACTCAAGACTACCATTCAAGAGCTGCAGTGGATGACCTAGGACATATTCACAAATATCAGTGTCACTAAGGTACTTTGTTATATAAAAAAGCTTCACTATAGCTTCATACATCTTCACTATTAATGGTTTTTCGAGGGTTCTTTAGTAAAAGGAATGGTTCTATTTGGACCATGAGTTCTATATAACACCAGTATATAGTTGTTATATAGTATATGAGTTCTGTATAGCACCAAAAGGGTTCTTCTATTATTAAATGCTTGACAACCATAGAAGAACCCTTTTTGGTGCTATACATAACCATTTTCAAAAAGGTTCTGTAATATACTCTTAAAAACGATGGGTCTTCAAGCGTTCTTTAGTAAAGAAAATGTTTCTAAATAGACCCATGAATTCACAGAGAACCCTTTGCAGGATTAAAGGGTTCTTCAGAGTGATAGAGAATGTGCTGTACATGGTTCTATATGGAACCTATTTAAAAGGTTTTCTATTCTTATGATGTCAAGCCTGCAACAATAGAAGAACCGTTTTTGGTGCTATGTACAACCATTTTCAAAAAGGTTCTTTATACACTCTTAAAAATTATGTTTTTTAAGGGTTCTTTAATAAAAGAATTTTGAATAGAACCACAAACTCATAGAGAATGGTTCTTTCCATCATTAAATAGTTCTTCAGAGTGATAGAGAATGTGTTGTACATTGTTCTATATAGAACCTTTTTAAAAAGGGTTTGTATAGCACCAAAAAGTGTTCTTCTATTGTTACAGTGTTAAGCCTGTGACAATTGAAGAACCTGCTATATAGAACCGTATAAAACACTCTCTATCTATTGGAAGAATACTTTCACAATGCAAACAACTTTTTAATCATGCAAAGGGTTCTCTGTGAGTTCATGATTCAATGTAGAACCACTTCCTTTAAAGAACCCTTGATGAACCATCTTTTCTAAGTGTGTAGATCTATATACAGCACATTCTCCATCAATCTGAAGAACCATTTCACGGTGCAAAGAACCATTTAAGTGTGAAATGTTTCTATATAGAACTCATGGTTCTAAATAGGACCATTTTCTTTACTGAAGAACCCTTGAAGAACCTTCTTTTTTAAGAGTGTACACATTTTATCAAATAGATTTTCTAAGTAATCTGAGTGTTTATTCTTCAGTCAGTAACTTAGCTGAATGTTGAAATATGTTTGCCAGCTCAGCGGCCCACCATGAGTGGCCATGTGGAGAAAGATGCCCAGACCATCAGCCCTGACATGCCAGCCATGTTTGATGGCATGAAGCTGGCTGCAGTGGCCACTGTGCTCTACATCATAGTGCGCTGCCTCAACCTGAAGAGTCCCACAGCCGCCCCTGAAATCACCTGTCAGGATACCGCACTCAACCGCTACCTGCTCAAGTCCTGCTCCATCTTAACCAAAGAGTAAGTCTGCACACTTGCGATTGCAGTAGTGTTCATTCTCACAGAGAAGTGAAAGAAGTGAATGCTTTAGAAATGTGCATGTACTTTTATATGAACATTTACTGAGCTTTATGTATTATGCCATGTATTTGATGCTTCTGTTCAAGTCAACTTTCAGATGGCAGTTGAAGCAACCAGAGCAACTTGGGGTTAAGTGGTTAGGTCATAGACATACTATCAGCTGGAATCAAACCCTTGACCTTTAGACAGCTCAGTCAAGCTTTGTCACCACTCGGCTACAGTTACCTGCAAACCTATCCATCCTGCATGCTCATGTGTGTTTTCAGGTATATTCCACCATTGTTGTGGGGTAAGAGTGGACATTTTCAAACTACGCTCTATGGAAAGATGGGCCGAGTGAGCTCTCCTCATCCATGTGGCATGCGCTTGTATCTTCCCATGCAAGATGGAGCTACAGCCACATTTGACCTTTTCGAGCCTATTGGTGACCATCTAAGTGGTGGTGAGTGTGTCATTTATTCAAAATTGAAAATATCAATCCAGGCCTGGGTTACAATATTATCATAGTATTATCATAGTCAATAGTAAGAGTCAGTAGTCATTCATAATAAATGTTAGGCCGTTAGGGTAGGAGATGCTTCTCCTGGGTCAGTATAAAAGAGCAGCTAAAGACTTTTTCAAACTAATTATGTGAAGTATGGGGGATTCTATTTCAGTTTGTTATTGAATTTTTTCAGACAAACCCTACAAACCCTAGGCCTATTATTAAGTTGTAAAGAGACACACACACATACAAACACACACACATTATCTAAGCCACTTACCCTTTTGGGTTGTGGGGGATGCTGAAGCCTATCCCAGTGGCCACTGGGCGGAAGGCAGGAAACACCCTGTCAGTCCATCACAGGGCAGACACAAAGACAGATACATTCACACCGCAATTTAGCATCTCCAGTTCGCCTAACTGCATGTCTTTGGACTGTGGGAAGAAACCGCAGCACCTGGAGGAAACCCACACAGACACAGGGGGAACATGCAAACCACACAGAAAGGACCCTGGTCAGGAAACAAACCCAGACCCCTCCTGCTGTGAATATCTACAGTATCTACTATGAATGTGATGTGTAAACACATACTGGCCCACACTGATTTATTGCTAAAACAAAGGTTTACTCAAACCTCATTAGTTCTGCATTCTGTTTAGTTAAAGGGGGAAATCAAATGTTTTGCTTAATTCAGTGGTTACAATGTCAACAAAGTCATTTAGAGTGGGATAGGTTTTAAAGAAGACTTTGGCCTAAAACATATTTTTTTCAGATCCATTCATGGTAGAATCTTGTAACTCAACACTACCCAAAGAAAACATATTTTCTTGTATTTATCACTATTTTAATTATCAACATTACGTATAAAAACTCCAAAGACGTGTAGGTTCACTAGTCGTTTTCAGTTGTACATAAAATGGCCGTATTTGCATTGTAGATATCGCAGCTCCTGGTTCCTGTCACCATGGAGAAATCTGTTCATCTACACATAACCATTTCACATCAAACCACTTTGAACTTTGTTTGCATCAAAGCCATTGAACAATGCAGAAAAATCTGTGGAATTCCATTCTCATTTGGGCCCTATAAATCAGATGTTCTTGATCAAATCTCCAGACACCCCCCATCTGGTCCACATTTTGTTTTATACTGGCTCCCAACGCAAATGACCCAGATTGTCAAGGGCTGTCGACTGAAAATCACCTGTCTTAGGCTTGCTGGAGGGAAAACTGAGCAACAAAATGTGCACCTGTGCAATGCATAACTGTAAATGCCTGTGTGGTATCTGTTCACAGATGATATAACCATGGTGATCTGCCCTGGGATTGGTAACCACAGTGAGAAGCATTACATTCGCACCTTTGTGGATTACTCCCAGAAGCAGGGCTACAGATGCGCTGTTCTAAACCACCTGGGGGCTCTTCCAAACATCGAACTCACCTCCCCACGGATGTTCACCTATGGTAAGACCATTGTTTGTGTAATGAAATTTTTACCCATGGGAAATAAGTGTTTGGCAAGTATTTCATCATTACACTGGTGAAACTGCATTATTTTTGCCCGACTGTTTGATAAACAGTATTACTGTCCAAAATGTTTGGATAGGTAGTGCAGCTGCTTATGATGTAACACTCTGGTAACCAGGCTAGCGGACTCTATTTGTATCACCTTGTTTGTCACATTGAGAAGAAAATCCAAAATATAGCTAAAATAAACACTGGACTTTGTTTCAGTTGTGTACTCGCACATCTTAGCATTCCTTCAAGATCTTATATTCTGTTCTATGCTTTGTGCTACAGGCTGTACCTGGGAATTTTCAGCCATGGTGAGCTACATCAAACGGGCATTCCCCCAGACTCAGCTCATAGTGGTGGGCTTCAGTCTAGGTGGAAACATTGTATGTAAGTTCTTGGGGGAGAACCAGGCCAATCAGGAAAAGGTGCTGTGCTGTGTGAGTGTCTGTCAAGGCTATAGTGCGCTAAGGTCAGTATAAACTCTTAGATTGCTGTTATAAGAAAATAGTGATGTTATAGAAGAAGGAAAAAGAACATGTGTCACAGCTGTTATTGATTATTGATATATTGTGTCAAGTAATATACTTTATATTGGTCCATTTGAAATGTTTGCAATGTAAAGAGCAGCTGACATTTTCAAAGTTTGTTAGAAAGATAAAAAACAAAAATGGAGCTCAGAGGTTTTCTCCTAACGGCAAAAATATACTGTTAATGGGACAATGTGGTTCAGTGTGGTTTTGACTGAAGTTACTGTTTATCCTCTCAAACTGTTAAGGCCCTATAGGTGCATTCCAAAAGCTAGGCTGCAACCAAGAGAGGTGGATCTTCAGTAGCTCTGTCATGTGACAGCTCCTCCTTGAAAGATGAGAAAAATTGTTGTAGAAAATAACGCTGATGTGAATGATAGTAAGCTGGCAAACAAAACATAAATTTGTTTATATGTAACGGAGGTCCTACAGGCGAAAAGCTGTCCAACTCGCTGAAAGCAGGTGCATTTCACACCCTGCATTCAGTTTACAGCTAAAAAAAGAAGAGAGAAATAATATACTGTATATTTTCCTATAGATTTTACTGGCCTGTTCAACAATGTGTAGTACAATTTGCAGTAGCACTTTTACCATTAGTATTCGCTGTTCAATGGGTAAGTAGTATAGGTAGCCTTTGTTACAAACACAGACTTTTCTTAATCTGTTATACATTTTAATAAGCTAACAACTAAACTAAAATAAACTACGTTTGACATGTAGAAGTTATTGAAAAATGAGCAAAATTTGATGCAGTGATTTAATTTGCCGGCATTTCTTTGAACTTTCTTTGGTTTGCGTCCACAAAGGATTATGGACAACAGAAGACCATGAAGAATGCTCTGATAGCTTCCTTTAAGATTGTCAGAATATAGCCAGCATTTTTGGCTGTATTTAAAGGATGCTTCTGATTGGAACATTCTTCAGTGACATAGTGGTCTAGATATGCAGCCCACCTAGACTGCAGCCTAGCTTTTTGGAATTGGTAGATTATATGTGGAGCTACACATCAGTTCCTCACTCTCATGTAATGTAATATGTGTTGCTTGCTATATAATCCATAATAGTGACTGAATAAGTTTTAGTTAATAGCTAAATAATAAACTTAGGGTTCAGTTGGTTAACTGAGACTATTTTGTGTTTCTGTTGTTTTGATTTAAGAGCTCAGGAGACTTTTCTACAGTGGGACAGGTGCAGGAGACTTTATAACTTCCTCATGGCAGACAACATGAAAAAGATCATCCTATCCCACAGGTAAGCACTTATAATGAAGTGTAATAAGTGACTGTCATGGTCAGTGAGTATGATTCATGAGCCTGTGTGAGAGTAACGTCACTGTGCTCCCTCTGCAGAGGAAGCCTGTTTGGCACACGGTCCAGCAAAATGGAGATAATGGATCTAAGTCACCTCTACACAGCCACATCTCTGATGCAGATAGATGACAACATTATGAGGTATTATTTGATCACAAGTCAATTTAATCATAACTCTCAATTTACGCAAATACATTTTGATTGTTTTGTGTCCTTTTGTCTCCAAAAGTTAAGTGTTATAATTGTTTGTTTGTGTCGATTGTAGCTGTACAGAATATTTGAAGTTAGTCTTCCGCAGGAACATCTTTACAGTAAGGGGCTGATCTACTAAAGCATTCAGAAACAAGCAAAACTGTGTTTGCTGATATGATTGGTTGGAATAATTCAAACGATCCATTCACTGTTAACGTGCAAAACAGCGTTGATGGCCTTTAGTGGCTCAAAGTGTACCCTGTAGGCTTTGTATGCAACTCTCTGTCCATCTGTCTTTCCTCAGAAAGTTTCATGGTCATGACTCTTTAAAAGAATATTATGAAAAGGAAAGCTGTGTACATTACATTCACAATGTAAGTAAGACTGATTAAGAAGGGATTATGTTAGTTATGCTACAAGCCTTTTTGCTTGCTAATGAGTAATGATAAGTTTAGTCATGTTGTTCGTCCTTTGTCCTCTTTCAGGTGAATGTTCCCCTTCTCTTGGTGAACTCATCAGATGACCCTTTAGTCCATGAATCCTTACTGACCATACCTCGTACACTAGCAGGTATTTTGCCCTAGAATTTACCAGTTTATTAGTTGGCAGTTTATTAGGAACACCTACCTACCTGTATCTGCTCACACCTACTGCTTACAGTTACTGACTGTAGCCCATCTGCTTCAGCACTTGTCAGCCACCCTTTCTACCTCATTCATTATTCATTAAAGCAAACAGAGCACTAAAGGACGACTGCTGACCAAATATTATTTGGGTTGTGGACCATTCTTAACACAGCAGTGACGCTAACATGGTAGTGTGTGTTGTGTTGGTTTGAGTGTAACAGACACAGCAGGATCACTGAGGTGTTTATAGACTCTTACCTTGTTGGTCTTTGCTGGTGTGCAATTAAAGACTATATCATGGTTTTCCACACAGTTTGTGTTAAAGATATCTTCATGAGTGGTCATTGAGGTTTCACTTTTTAGGACGTATTCTCAATAACAGTTGAATGATGTGAATAACCAGGCTAAGCTTAGTAGAGCTGATTAATAAGCCTCCATAAATCAACAAACTTATTAAGTGTTCTATTCTGTGCACAGACATGAGTATGTAGTGTCCAGGAGGGATTTTAAGAGTATTTTGCTTTTTTACTTTACTAATACCAAATATATAAACAATGCCGATACCATTAGCCTGCGTTTCTCAATCTGTGGGCTGGGCTCAATCTGTATCCCTGGGGGGCACCAAGGGGGCCATAGAAAAATAGAGAAATTGTGTCTCTGCTTAGTAGGTTTTAATTTTGTCAGTTTATTAAATCTGCTTCAGACATATCTAAAATGTGGTACTTTAAAAATAGTAGATGTTATTAAACAATGAAAATGAAATACACACCAGCCAATCACAATTCAAAACAACACCACACCCACTAACCAAGTTATCTATAATGTCATAGAACAGGGTCATGTCTCTGTGGTCAGGGCTTTGTCTCTGTGTTCAAGTCAGCGATAGCTAGTTAAATGTACAGAAATCTGGTAAGACATCATCCTCATTTCTTAAATAAAATGAATGACCGGGGTGGGGGGCAAGAGGGTGGGGGCACTGAAGCAGGATACAGTGGCAATTAATATCCAAAAAGGGAGCCTTAGGCTAAAAAGATCTGAGATCTGCTGGCCTACATTACGTACAAAGTGACAGTGAGGTGTGAAAAACCAGCAATGCTGCGGTGTCTGATAAACTCATACCTGCTATCATGCAGTGTTAATAATATCTGGTCAGCGACTGTCCTATTAATGTCTCTTTCCATTGATGGGGTAGAGGGGGGCTGATAAATTGAGCAGTAACAGATGGGCCACAGTCAGCAATTGTAAACCTTCAAAGTGCACCTTTATGGTTAGATATATCGGATACAATGAGCATAGATACAAGGTAGATGTACTTAATAAACTGGCAACTCAGTGTATGTGTCTCCTGTGACTTTGTCATATGAAAAAAAAATGTTATCTTCAAACAGATCTGTTGAAGGTAAAAGGCATTATAGTGGTAAAACCCATGAATGCAGAAAGCAATCAGTGTTCTTGTTTCTGAGGCTGTAGATAAAGGCATTGCAAAGCTCTTTCTGGTAAGCTTTTACTGCCTCTGTCCCAGATTGAGGATTAGTAATCATGAAAGAACAGAATATTTATTTTAGTCAAAGTTGTCAGTATTAATAACCTTAATGCACAGCAGGTTAGCTCATCCTTAAATTGTGTAGCAGTCCATTTCCTCGCTCCATTAGCGCTGCTTGAGTGTGCTGTGTGAGCTCTGTGCTCAAGACCCTGGTGCTGAATTTTTCAGGGCCATGTGATCTATTTGGCCCTGTGTGAATATTTATCAGAGCAATGTACTCACTTCACTCCGCTGCAGCGGCTCCAGGCTTCTTCGGGCACCAGCTTATCAGTCTGGGCTGATAAGTTAGTACAGCGGGACCAGATTATCCTCTGCTGCATGTCCCGGAGAAACACTCTGTAACTCTCTTCTCATTCTTTCTTTGCTCATAATACAAATGCAAAAGCTCCATAAAACCATTCGACAGACTTACAACAATTTCCACTAAGCAAAGCAGGGTGGAATTATCAGCAGTTCAATTGGAGAGCTTGTGTTGTTGTAAGTTGCCACTCTAGAACACAGCCTGTTAGTTTTGAGTCTGTTTTATGAGTCTGTTTTGGTGCCCGTGTACCTAAATAGAGCTCAGCTGGTTTGTAGTTTAGCAATAAATAAAATATACCTTTTTTCCCCCTTATCTTCAATGTAATCGATCAGCCAAGACATGTATGGTGTCTGAAATTTGCTTCATTAGATTTGCACTGGAACTGAAAGGCTAATGTAGCGAACAAGTAATGGAAGCTTATACCCACCAATTAGAATTATGAAAAATACATGTCTACTGTACTGTGCAAAAGCCAATTTATTTCCAGTCAAAACAGCAATCAAAAGTAAAAGTTACTCATTTTTCCTGGAGATATTTCTGAAGAGATTAGATATAAGATAATCCACTTGCATTACAAGGGGGTAAGTCAAAGGTAAATGAGTGAAAAGTTTTGAAAACTGGAGTTCAAAACTATATTAAAAGACACAGAGAAAATAGAACTCCTAACAACTGTGCAAGACCTGGTAGACCACCAAAACTGTCATCAGATAAACAGTACTTAAAGCTTTGAAAGATCCACTTATGCTTCAGATCTTCAACAATCTACAGGTATTTCTGTCCATGTGTTTGGGATTACTTGGATGGTGAGATGCAGAAATGCAACCAACTTCTAAGACTGAACTTTGAAGATGTGGAAAAATATCCTTGGAGATTTCTTTGAAAAACTGAAAGTCTCCTAAAAAGAATTGGGGCTATAATAAAGGTAAAGGGTGAATGCAATGAATACTGAAAATTTTAATATTACATATATTAAATTAATTTAACCCTATATTATATATTTTATTCACAGTGGAACATAGAACACATATCAGATGTTGAAAGTGAGACATTTTACCATTTCATGAAAAATATTAACTCATTTAAAACTTGATGGCAGCATAAAAATATGGATTTATGAGATTTTCAAATCATTGCATTCTGGTTTTATTCACATTTATTTACATTTCACACAGCATCCTAACTTTTTTTTAGAATTGGGGTTGTAAATGAAAGAAGGGTCTTTGACTTTGGTTTACTGTAAGTTGTCACACATGTACATGAAACTACAATGAGATGTTAAATCTTCTCAGATAGACTTGTGGTTTCTGACAAAAGGACAGAAATATATCACATAACAAAAAGCAATTGTAGAATTGTGAACTTTGCATTTTGTTGTTCTTAATGTTCAAATATTAAAAGTACACAAATGTGATTACCTAACAACTCAGTGCAGTTTGAAGGAAGTGTATTATAATTTGGGCTTGCAGTTTGCATTATGCTATGTGGTGGGGTTATTAGCTTCAAATTACTTAGTGACATTAGCCTTGTAGCACCAGTGCAAAACTAAAGAAGGATACTGCAGATAGTTTAGTGAACTTGGATGTTGTTACTTGGGTGTTGTTGTTCAAGTGCATAGCTAGAATTAATGCCTGTTGACTTTGCAGCTCCCTTATCTCCAGCATTGATTTTTTTAGGTCTAAGGCTCTGGTCCATTACAGTTTGTTTCCTCTGCCTGATGTAGACTCAGTAGTGAGGGATGACGGGAAACGTCAGAGCTGGTGTTTCCAGCTCGGGGCCAGCCGTTACAGTGTAGCTCTTGTCTCCAGCTTGGCACAGTGTTTGGCAGGGCCTCCATATGGCCCTGTAATCACGTCAGGTAGCATTGCTCCTCCGCTAACCTCCTTTCCATACTGAGGACAGTCGTGATAGACAGGGCAATCCCAGTCCTGACAACAGATAGCTGCTTTCCAAGGCCGTAACCTCAACATAATCGCACAGCTGACTTCATTCATTTGACTCCAAGCTTTGAGGTTGACTGACTAGACCTGTGATAGGCCTCTCAGCTCGCTTACTGTAGGGCGCCAGGGTGAAAGACAGGGAGGGCCTTGGCATTTAGGGTGTCAGAAAGAGAAAGGTAGAAAACAGGTAATGTGACATAGACGGAAAGAACGGCTAGGACCTGAAATGGAGCTAAGTGGTTTTGATGTTTTGCTGTGTCAGAGTCGGTGCCTGCTTTCCTGTTAGAATGGTTTAGTTATGCTCAGTGGCCCTTTTAAACATTTGGCATTTGGGGGCCCTAAGCAAAATCCTTCTTGGGGGCTCCCACTCAAACCAATCACATTATTTTCAGATGCAAGAATGATAAATGCTACAGGACAACAGTAAAACTATAATTAATGATGCACAGGGAATACAGAATCTTTTAACACCAAAATAATAATATATAATAAATAATAAACCAAAAATTAATGATTTGTGCATTTCTGCTGTCTTGATCTGAAAACAATGGAAACCGAGTTATCAGTGATATCTTAAGACGTTTTCTGCCAATATAACGCATTATGGCTGGAAAAACCCAACTTACAGAGCCCCTTGTGGCTAGGGGCCCCTAAACAACTGCTTATACTGCTTATAACAAGAAATGGCTATTGTAACAAGACCCTGTCTGTTCTCTTTAAAAATGATTACATAATTAATTGCATGGGCACAAAATGATTTGCCTTCAATTTACATTCTGTATTGGCAGGTTCGAGTCTATACTTCCATCCAAACATGTCATAAATAAGAAAATACATCACAAAAACAAAAAAGGGATGATTTTTTTTTATCTGCAAAAGGAGACACTAGGCAGAACAATAACTTTTCATCAAATTCAAATCATAACAAATATAAAAGAATCTGCATTTTCGACAGAATTTCCACAAGTTTCATTAACCTGTGAGTGAGAAGTATGCAGTCGTTTGCAAAAGTTTGGGCACTGTGGTCAAGTTACATTTTTTGATGATTTTCAGAGTGAAAATAAATGTTTATTAATGTTTATTAACTATGCGTGTTAAAGTAGAGGGTGTGTTAAATTTATTTACAATTCATTTATTATTAATTGGCATGTTTTATGTTTTATTTTTCCCAACATAACCTTATAATATAACAATATTACATAACAATATAACATTACAGTGTTCTGCTGTTATTGCCAACTTCTAAGGGTTACTCAAAAGAAAACCTCTCCCACTAAAAAAAGTGATTATCCATTCATACAGCACTTTGTTTGGTATCACACAAATTCATGCAGCCTAACACGGATCCTCCTTACTTCTCTACAGAAAAGAAAGAGAATGTAATCTTCGTGCTGACGCTGCATGGAGGGCACCTGGGCTTCTTTGAAGGTGCTGTGCTCTTCCCTCAGCCTCTCACCTGGATGGATAAAGTTATCGTCAGTTATGCTAACGCTATCTGCCAGTGGCAGAAGCAGCAGCCACAATGTCGCCAAGCAACAGACTGCACAGAACTCAAAGGCAAAGCTTAACACTTTTCAGAGCCCAGTTCACTCAAAAGAGTAACTCAAGAGCATTCAAAGCCTGATGCATTACCTGGGTGTCTACTGATGAAAGGAAGTCTTACACATTCACATTTCTCTATAACCACAGCCGGTTTTCAGCTCATTAATATCAAATCATTCAGCACAAAGTCAATAAAACATACACAGTGGACTCTGAGGGCATATGGGCTCAAAGTGAGCTGGATATGCCTCTTTAGGTCAGTTGATTAAGGGATGTTTACTGAGAAGTGAAAGGGCATATGTTCCAGCATTTGAACATGTTCTTTGTGAGATATGTGGGGATCCTTGAAAGTTTCACCGCAGTACAGTCAGGTGATTTCTAAAGGGACCTTTTTTGTGTTTGTATCTTGGTCTCAGTTTATTGTGGTGTCTGAAGAATGTCTTAAGCACAGACGCTCCTGTTGTGGGCAGGAGGTTTGTGCCAGCTGCTAATGGGCAATGCTGATAAGGGAAGGAAAACAACAATCAAGTAGACAAAAACAAACCCTTAGTTTTAGTTGATTTCCTCTGTGTGACACTGCTGCCCCCTGGTGGCTAAAAGGAAAATATTTTATTTTATTAAAGGTATGAAAAACAGGAAATATGTGGATTAAAGAACACATTTTTGACCAAGCAGTTGAGGATTAAGTGAGAAATCTCACTTAATGTACATGTATGTATAAAGCAATAACGTAGCGTTCCATTTTGCTATGTTGATGATTAGTGGTGAGTTTACTGCTGTGTTTTTGTCTATGAATATTGTGCTGCTGTTTGCTTCATTAGTTAAAGTGTTAATCCCAGATGTTAATCCCAGAAAAGGAGCTTTGAAGAAAATCATGTGACAACAGGCTACTTTTGCTTTCTTTAATGCGATAATCTACATCATTTTGTGATCATCATAAAATAAACAAAAGGTTAAATGTATCAAGCAGCCTTAAAGAGGAATTCTACTGTAGTTTCAAAATGTCATTCAATGGTTAAGATGTAAACAAAGTTATTCAATGTGGTTTAGTGCAAAATGCTCTGTTCTAGAGAAACTTAAGAGTCAGAATTGTTCACCGCAGTGGTGATGGGAACCAGACATCTGAAGTGAAGTTAATACCTCTGTACAAGCTACCACACAGGAGGTTATTATATGAAATGTACCCTGACTGATGCCTGAGACATTCCTTTTATGATAGTTTTGAGATAAGCTTTTGGCCTGAAACCTTTTTTTAAAAATATATTCATGGCAGAGAGGTACATGCAAAGCCTTGTAAGGCAAAATAGTACTCAAAGAAACTGTATTCTTTCTGTTCTTTTAGATTTACCACTATTTTACCATTATCAACATATTAACATTTTCCATATGAATTTGTAGTGTAAACATTATGGCGCCTGTTTTCTTAACACCACTATAAAGAAATCAGAGTCTGTAAAGTTTCTCTTTGTTTACATCTCAACGATTGAACCATGCAGATATTTGGAAAAAATCAAAGGAATTTCCCTTTAACTGTCCTGTCCTATACATGAAGTGTTGATGTTTGATAGCTAAGCTTAGTAGGACCAATACTACAGCACAGCAGTGCTACACAGCAGTCCACTCGGTGGGAAAGCATGGGAAATAAGGAGATCTGGATTTTGACCGGTGTGTCATAAGACTGCACAGTAGTTTCCATTATGTAGTAAAATGAGCCACCCAGACTCTTCCAAATGTGGATCTAATAATAGCAACAGCTTTTCTGTTTGCAGTTCAAACTGTTAATCCCTTATTGTTCTGTGAAACAAGCCTAGTGGATGTAATAGTCCCATAAGCGTACAACACATGCAGGTCTTTGTTGTGAACACAGGAAAAATTAATGTGCAATGTGCAAAATAAACTATTTTTTGTAACATTTTGTCCACATTTCATTATATACATTCTTTCAGGATGGCCATTATGTAATTACCCTCTTCATCTCCTCAGGCCATTTACTTGGACAGTGTGTTATGTACATATGATGTTTTATGTAATCAGATTATTTTTAGCCATAACATCATTACTGCACTTGAGTGTGAATACATACGACAGATGTGTCATTTCATGAAACATCTACTTTAATAAGTAAAAAGGATCTTAAGCATAAGGCAAAGATCAAAGTTTCATTTTCATTGTGGTCTTTAAAACAAAAATGGCAGCAAGCCGGCATCTTTATATACATTTTATTGTACACATCATTGGGGATAACATTACAGACATTTATTTTCTCGTATTTTGCTGCTCTCAGCTAAATAAAAGTACAACAAACAGAAACAGAAGCACTTTTGGAAAGATGACACATCTGTTGTTTCTGTCTCTTAAGAGAGGTACCTTAAATACTGGGGCTGTTGGGCTTCCCAGACCAGAAGAAAAGCTCCTAGAAACCTTAACAACACAGAGAATGGCCATGTTTGAGTGCGATGAGCTCATTAAATACCTATTGTTTTCAGTCATCATCATGTTTTTCAAGTGTTTATTTGGCATGCTTGCAGAATTGAACTGAACAGTACTGCAGGCTTTACTCAAGTTCATCATCTTCACAAACGTATATGAGCATTTCAATATGCCACGACACGAACGACTAGAATCACATCAAGAACTATTTCATAATGGTTACCATATTCCTCAGTCAAAAAGTTTCGCTGCTGTTGCCTTGCCATCATATTTGGAGCCTTTGCCATCAAACTCTGATGGCAAGATTTCAGGATCAAACTCGTTGTAGTAGGTCTCCAACTCATCTCCATGGACAAACACCTAAAGAAACATAAAACACAGCAAAATGCTCAGTCAGACTGTCTAATGCAATCCTTACATAGCATCCAACAGGCTGTTAGCTCACCCTCTCCAGGAGTTTGCTCTTCAAAAAGGGCTTGACCACATTGTAGGTGGTGGTGAAGTACCAGGGTTGGTGGATGAAGTGCACAGCTTTGAAACGAGCAGGGAAAGAGTCCTACCCCAGGAAAAAATGAGAATTAAGATAATGATGGAAAGTTGACGATGATTCTAATTTCCTTTGGAAGTACAAGTATTACCTCATAAGTGATACATTTGCAGATGCCAGAGCAATCTGTGCTGCAAACATGTGAATGTGTTATGAATAAATCTAGAAACCCTCAAACTGCAAGGCCTCATTTTGTAGGCCTTCACTTCACTCTCACAAGTATACAACTTATGTATTAGCTTTACTATTTTATGGTAGTCACTGAACTAGTAGGAACCTGAAGTTGTGTGAATACATGGCTCATGCAGAACATTACCTGCAACATGTCCACCATCTTCTTCAGCTCTGTGGGCTTGATGCCTGAGGCCTGCTGCATGGTGAAGCCCTTAAAGTTCTCAATGATGCAGAAGCCATTGATCTGAGTCTCTTCATTCTCCAGCAGCTTCTCCAGGATCACACAGTAGGCCCTGAGGATCTGCAAAAAAAATCAAATTCTGTGACTTTTCCCAAACAGAACTCACAAAGGTTTCTAAAGAAGGTCTGTAAAACTTTTCATTGATTAGACAATGTAGAAAGAACCTCAAAACTTCAGTTAGAAAGTAGAAAACCTTAACCATTTTAACACCTCACTGAAAGACTTCACTTGCTACAGGACAACAATGTAAAACAAAGTAGACTCTTATTCTTTCAACTTTTTTATCACCTCATCAAAGGTGATCTCTTCATAGTCCCAGTTCTCAATGTTGAAGAGCAGCACCACACGGCCATATTTGTCTCTGCTCGACAGGATTCCTGGGTAACCAGCTTCAATAGTGCTGCGTACAGCCTCTGGGCTTAGGTTTTCAAACAGCTCTGGGTAATCTCGCCTGAAGCGGACGTAACCTACGGCAAAGGAATAGTTCAATTTACCAGTGAGTATTGGGCTTGAGAGTACATTCATGTAGACACTATGTTTTTGCTTCATCATTACCGGCCACCATAACACATTGGGTTAGAGCACGGAAGATGCATACTACTATTGATCTTACATAAATTGTTGTGAAGAGCACAAAAACTATTATCCACTCACCCTTCATGAGGTCAAAAGCCCTGTACACGTCATATTTTCTGGCCCGAATGAACCTCACAAGCACACCATCAGGTTTCTCGCCAAAAGTGTCCTGCACTGCCTTGGCCAGGTCATCTCCGCTTCCTGCTTTTTCCTTTATGATACCTCTCAGCTCCGTCACAGCTGCTGCTTTTTTCTCTTCTGTCTCATTTAGCTCATCTTTCGCCTGCAGTGAGTGGTAGGCATCACATTGAAACCCAGACATGGTTTAATAGGTGGACCACCTTACTAATGATGTATTAACTATTGAAATGGTTTTTAGAAGGCTAGCATTAGCACAGTATGACACAAAACAAACAATGGTGGAATCTGTCTTGAAACCTTTCATATGTATAATTGATGCTGAATGCAAAGTAAACATCTAACCTTCATAACAAGTCTAAGGGGCAGTGGCAACCAGGCCCCCTAAACATCTTAATTGGACCCTTTATATCACTACTTGCAATTTTGCTGACTCACGAAGGGTAGCTATGATAACTTGTGATTTCTTTTCTTTTAAACAGGTCCTCCTTAAGATGCTACTTACAAAACTCATCAAAACACAGGTTATTGTGAGTGTATGTTTGCCCCTATTATTGTGTCCTTGGTTGGTTTGTAAACACCTTTTGTACAGTGTGGTCAGGCAGTTTGGCGCAGGGTCCAAACACTGGCCCATGGTCTTTGATCGAGAGATGCTCCAGCTTGGCCCTGAGGGCCTGTTCCTCCTCTGACACCATACGGTACGTTCCACTCTGCAAACAGACAGCAGTGGCATCAGAACAACCCTGAATCAGCTGTTTGAGAACACTAATCCAGAACTCTTACCCCTCCTGAGGCAAACCCACTCAATGGGGCCTAGTGTAAGCAAATGCTAAGCTGTCTCACATGAATACAGTAAAGCCTGGTTTAAAAAAGAAGAAAAAATAGGAAACCTTTTGTCTGAGAGGAGAGATTAGCAGCTAACGCTAGCAGCCCCAGCCCTGTACTGAGAGCTGCCTTGCTCTGGGAAAGTTTGCAGACTATGCTATGCATGTGAGCGGAGGTTTGGAGGAATCTGAGCAGACACAGTGGAGCTTCATATGATTCTTGAGACAGCAAACATCTCAAAGCTATGATATTCGGCTCATTTTAATAAAAAAAAAAGTAGCAAATGAGACAAGTTTTAATTAGATCAAAGGTGAGACCGGCCCTAATATCAAACAAAACCCCATATTAGTAATTTCAGAGTAATAATACCAACCACCATTAGTATGGTGAATAGCATATTACAGTAAAAGATATGTAAAATTAATTAAAAAAGAAGCTTATATGTACTTACCACAACAGCCATTGCTTCAGATGTTCAGTGCAGTCTTCAGGAAAGCTGGAAACAGAGGGATTATATCACCAACAGAGCTTAAGGAAAACTCCAAAAGAAAGCTCCTATTGATCCTGTGGACGAAAATGGCTTGGACTACGTAACCAAACACTTTCCTAATCAAACCTATCTAGAGTATTTTAGTTCCTATCTAGTCCCTTTAGTATTCCTAAGCATCAACATGCACTCCCCTTATCACATGAGCCTTTTGGGGGCAGATTAACTTCTTTAAGGCCATCATAATGACCAATGTGCTTTAAAAAAGACCCACGCAAGTTTGTAATGAATTCTCAAGCACTTTACAATGTTTAATAAGAAAATTAAAATTTAGAAATTGTCAAGAAAATATTAATACAGTGCCTTAGTACTCCCCCAATTCAACACAATGAGAGTCCCAGTAAATTCAACTTCAGAGAAAAACTTAAAAACAAATCAGGCTTCAGCTTATCAACGTATGCTTACTACATCATTAATATATTATTTCCTCCAAAAACTGGGTGATTCACTAGCTACACCAAGCAACTAATTCCTTGTTGAAATAAGTAAAATTCCATTACAGTGCAGAAGAAAAATCCAGGACAAACTAACCACAATTAAAATGCAGTTTCTATGGCAGAAAGCTTCTGAAGGCTTTCTCAGCACCTAAACTACTGCAGAATGTATTGGGAGGCACAAAATGGAGAACAGGCTTCTCCCAGGCCAAGCCAGCCATGACTTACCAGACAGGGTGGTGTGCAGCTGAGGGGTCCGTCACCAGAACTGTGGTGAGGAGAGGAGTTGCCCTCTTCAATCATTTGTAGTGGTTCCCCCCGCCTCTGGATTAAGACCGTCACACAGGATTATGCAGAGCAGATTTAACGTTAATCAGCACAAAAATAATTGGGAGGAAAGAGGAATGAGAATATTGACCAATAGTTATGCACAAATATGCTGCAGTCATAGTTTCTAAACCAGGCACAGGCCATGTGCACCTTATGTGAACTATCACTGAACTGAAAAACTGATTCCAGGTCAACACAAAGCACAAGTTACAGATGAAGCACATTGGCCTCAATTGTTTTTTACACATTTGTTGTTATGCTAAAAGTGATTTAACAGCCAATTCAATTTTATTAAACATGTTATGAAGTGACCTAAAGAACTTCATTAAAGTTTACCAATGGTTAAATGGTTCAAGTGTCCAAATACGCAAAGTGAGATGTTAAACGCAGCTATTCGTGCTGATATGGGACCAACTCCATCCCAAGTCCTAGTATTGAAGGGGAACGCCTACAATTTTTAAAACATTCTGCATAATTAAAGGGAAGAGCTGTAAACAAAGTCATTCAGAGTGGTCTAATGTGAAATGCTGAGTCACAATTGTTCACAGTGGTGATAGGAACCACACATCTGAAGAGTTTAATGTTTTGAAAACAAGTTTTTACATAAAATGATTATATACATGCTGCCTGATGTCTAATACATTATTTATGATAGTTTTGTAATAAAATTTTAGCTTAAAATGTATTTTGATCCATTTATTACAATCCATTCATGGCGGAGGGATACATGCAGGGCATTGCAAGGCAAAGTAGTCCCCAAAGAAAACTTATTTTTTCTGATTTATCACTATTTTACCATCATCAACATTACATGTAAAAAACCAGAACATACGTGTAGGTTCACTTGGATGGTACATAAAATGGTTATATTTGTCTTGTAGACATGGTGATACCTGGTCCACACCCACTGTAAAGAAATCAAGTCTGTAAGTTTCTCTAAACCACTCTTAATGACTCTGTTTATATCTTAAGGATTGAAATATTCAGAAATTTTGAAAAATTGGTGGAATTCCCCTTTAGGCTAACATTTTCTGTACATGTTGCATGTAATTAAGGACAATTTTTTGATGGATCTGTACCTTTTGGATCACTTCTTAAACGACAATACTTACACTCAAGTAATTTATTTTAGACTAAAATGAGCCCAAAAAGGTAAGATTAGCTAAAAATTCAGTTCCTGTGCAAATGCTGAATAAACTAGGAACCTCAGTACTCAGGTTTTTTCTTAAGTATGGTTTTACGTTACTCTACCCGCCTCCCCTGGGGTTTAGTCAAACTGCAATGTGAACTACAGTAGCTATAGTTAGCTTCTGTGATGCTAGCAGCACAGAGTGCATCCAAAGAGTTTTAGCTTGTCAGTCCATCTTATCACTTATATGTATGCACAGTACATGTTAGATACAGATATGGACGAAATTGGCTTAATGTCAAACTCGGAGCATTAAACCTTCTGAACAAACCCACCACTGTAAATTTAGCACTTTATAACCTTAAGATTGTATAAGTGAGTGAACTGGTCATGACATGATCAAGACAAAAAGCTTTCTCTTTTAGTGAAGAGGAATGGCAGCCTTTTAAATTCTTAATATGCCATATATATTAAGCTATACAGAGAGAAAATTTGATTGCATTAGTCATGACGTCATCTCTCACTAAAGCTTAATCCAACAGTGTTTAGAATAGCCAAAACAATCTTTCCACTCTTTTTTCATTCTCTCTCACATCACCAAGGAACGTTTCCCTTCTGACGCAACATGGAACAGAGCCGTAATACCCTAAATCAGGATTTAGCCTATCAAAGAGGGGGTCTGTGTGCCTAAGGCAGTGGGATTGGCAGGACAATGTTGGCCTCTGTGCTCTGTGAATGTGTGCAGGACACTTTGGCCCCAGCTAGGGTCAAGACCACTGCTGCTTGAGTGTGGGTACACACAAGACACTTCACAAACACAAGCAGAAAACCACTTCCACAAGATCCAAAGAGCAACACCTTTGATTACACTGTCAGCTGAGGTTCTTCACTGAAGGCCCTTTTTTGTGTTGAAACAAGCTTAAAACAGGTCTTAAACTAAGTTTTATGTGAGCAGTCACTGGGTAGGTGAGATCATCATCAAAACCATAATTAAAACCAAGTGATGCTAAAACTTTGGCTACAAAAGAAGTGTAACAGAGGTTGTTCTGTTATGGATGCCCAATTTTGCCCAACTATTGGTCAACTATTGGAGGCACTGAAACCCTTGAGTCATTAAGAATACACAATAATACTTTGGCGCTTACAGGACTTCAGGGTGACAACACCCACCATGTATTTCAAAGGTGAATAGGTACAAAAATAGAACATTAAAGACAAACAGACTACACAGAAATCTAAAAACTAATTTAATTTTAGGCGTATCTATGATTCTCATCACATAATGTATCTACATGGGGTTATAGAGACTAGCTAAATGAACTTTAATAATAACCATGACTCAATGAGAAAAGCAGCAAGACAAATGGGAATTCCAAAGATAACAGCACTGGCCTATTCAAATCCAAATAAGCTCAGTTAAAACTGTTACTGTGATAAAAATGCAGATTATCTGCTAAGTGCACTATTGCGTACTCTCAGTGCAGAACAACTCAAATAAACCGTTTAGCCTCTCTCTAGCCTACAAGACCTCAGTTGGAAGGCTACAACTAGCGATTATATAATGTAAACCTCTTTGGCCTCTGGTGACTCAATGAGGTAAGGCTAATTTTTCAGGTTTATGGGGTTAAAGGCTTCAGTCTACAAGCAATTGTTCACGCTTATATAAAGCATTTGATATATATGAAGGATGTAAGATTAGTTAGTATGTAACTAAGTTTAGTTTCCAGTGTTTAAACTTGATTTAAGACAAAAGACAATTTTGTTCCACAAACTTTAATCAATAAATAACCAACATGTCACATTTTTAAAACTGTTTACAGCTGCTGCTACAAGAAAACTCTGCATAAATAAACCAGGAATTTAGTTTCATAACATGTATTGTACTATTTTAGTCCCTTTATTGTAATGTATTTATGTTACAACATATATATATATAATATTATATATATAGGCACCCAGCAAGTTACAATAAATATGTTATGTGCCGTATTGGCCATGTACAGAGTGTTTTAGTGAACAGACCTTTAAAAAGATCAACGAATACCTAGTCTTAACGTCAACTGGCATGTACAGTTCTCAAGTAGTTTGTGTTATAACACCATATTATTGGTTATGACAGTCACCCATAGGGTTAAAGTGTACTGTTTCTGCTCAGCAGTCATTTCAATCTCTTTTTTTGACTAACAGAATTAAATACTGGCAAAAACACTACCTGAGATGTAATTACCACATCTAAATATGTATCTTCCAAAAAGAGACTTTTGAAAAAAAAATATATAACTGAGAAGCACCGATTACACAAACCGACAGGTAAGAATCCATAAGAGCTCAGGTACACAACCTGTGTATTGTAATTCAAGTTACAGTGCTGACTTATTTAGTTGCATTACCTTTAACTGCAGCTCGCAACTGTTCAGCAGTTATGAAGAAGTCTGATGAACACTGATCATTTAGCTCTAAATTTTCAATACATCATTAGGCATGTCAAAATCATATAAAGGCTTAATTACTTTAGTGTGAACCTACACTGATAGTTTTAGGAGCCCCAAATGTTATTAGGATAGTTCTTAAATTTGGAAATTTGTGAAGCAAAACAGCACAGAATCATTTTTCAACTAAATCTGTTAACATCTACAGTTTAAATCTGTAGCAGAAGTGAATGTGCGTTACCCTTTGTATCTGAGGCACAGAACTACACCAGTTCAACTGAACAATTTCAACGACCTTGTGACTGGATGGACAGGTACTGTAGTAATACTTCCCAAACAGGTCAGCAAAAAGCAGCCTGGAGGTGGGGACTTGAGTACTTTTTCCTGCACGCAACTTCAACCAATGACTAAAGCTGCAGCAGAGTGAGTTCTAAAGTGTAAAAGGGTGTACTTGATGTTTAGCGAATAACTACATTTGTCTTGTTAAAATTTTACGTAATAATTTCAGTGCATAAATATCTCTTAAATTTAAATGCTTTAGTACTTTAAAACTTGTCTGAAAATATTTAACCTCCCTAGTTACTACATGTCTGATATAATGGACCCCTGTTGGAGCTGGACAAACATAATGAACTGATTCATTTGCATCAAAAAGGGAAAACTCCATAGAAAAAGCTGCCATCAGCTTTTTTTGCATGCAAAGGAGTGACAACTGTTCAATACACTGTTCAAGTGTACATGGTTACAATCTCATTAGTTGCAGTCTGTCAAACTCTCTGGCCAATATTGGTCCTGCATGTAGTGTTCCAGGGAGGCAGTGGGCTCTGGGATGAAATCTGAGTTCTGGATGTGGGCCTGCAGGGACTTTTCCCACTCCTCTTCTACCAGCTTGTAGAGGTCCAAAGCAGCAAGAGCATCTTCTACAGAGCAGTGACCAGCTCTGCCAACCTAAGTGGGAAAGAAATACCAGATGTAATCATAAGCTCTTAAAGCTAGCTTACACTTAATGGGTGTTTTTAATAAGATGCTTCAAAAATAATTCCCTTCTAGACTAAATATACATACTTGTATTTTCCTATTAAGAAGATTTTGGGCCAGCTTCTTCAGCGAGATACACTGTTGAGGAGTACCATACAGCTGTCGCAGCAGACACAAGGAGGAAGTATCCCTAGTCCTACTACGTGGTACGGCGATGCCCAGGACTTTGAAGTCATTATGCAAGGCATGGCCAATTATTATCTTCCCTTTAAGGACATGGAGGATCTATTTAAAAAACAAACAACAAAAAAAGATAGCAAGTTGTTTATAGCCCATTTATAAAATCAATAAGCCAGTACAATTTGTACCACTAATACCACCAAATGGAACACATGAAAACTGAAGGGCTGCAATGTTAGTACCCATAACTGTCTCTTCATTATCATGGTATTTACAATCTCTGCATAGCTGGTGTCATTAAAACCATAAAGTAGTATCATGCGGTCCTATCTTATTAATACAAAATGCTGATCATTATGAAAAAAAACAAACAAACAAAACAAAAAATAAATAAATAAATAAAAAAAACACAGTAAAAAATACAGTGGGCCCAAATAGTCTCTCTCACCTCTTTCCTTGCTTCCTCATAAGGCAACGCCTGTTTTAAGTGCTCCTCCTTGATACCACTCCACTGTGTCCGGTAGTTTGTAACAGGATTGCGAGGCATGATATACTTATCATAAATTACAGTTCCAGAATAATTTAATATACTACATCGGGCTAATTCACTACAGTGTCCATTAGGGCCAGTCCCCACCATTTCACAGTCCACAGCCACCAGCATTGAGGGGTTATTTCCAATGCAAGGTGAACTCCGGCCACTGGTGGGAGGGCTGGTCTCTGAAGAAAAGCCACTGTCAACCTCCCAGCTGTCACTAAGCAAGGAAGAAGTCTTGGCTGTACCTACAGAGTGTGTAGTTAATTTGGCCCTTTTGGCCTTCACAGGTTGTGTGCTGTCCAGTGAGTTGTCTGAAGGTGCTTCACGCCTGCTGTCAGAGTTGTCAGACGACCTGACTTCACTGCCCTGCTCCTCCAGGGACTCACTGGATTTTCTTTTCTTGGGTTTTTCAAGTTTACACATTTCCTGACATTCCACAACACTGTTTTCCTTTCTGTGCTTCGTTTTTCTCCGTCTCCTCCGTAAGGATCTTTTTGCTAGTACAGAAGAAAGAGTAGCTGACTGGATGTTGAGGGGTCCCCAAACAGTTTGGGCAGCCCCACCATTGCTCAGAGGGCCTGGAGCAGACATTTCTGCCAACGTGTGACGCTACACCTGGAATCAAAACAAGAGAACACTGACAAGGAAGTTGCAAGTGAGAAAAAAAACAACACAGCCGAACTGTATAGCTGAGTAGGACTGTTCGAAGCTCTGTTATTGAGACTGTTAAAGTTAGCTAACCTAGGTTAGCTATACCGTGAGACATCAGCAAATGAAAGATGAGAAGCTAGCGTTAGCAACCTTAACACTGTGCCCAAATTTAGCCATTTAATACTGGAGCAAAACGGTGAAAAATACTTTTTTATTTAAAACACTGATACTACAGATTGTTGAGACTCACCAAGAAGAATACGCTACCGCTGAACAGTCAATAACGCCTGATTACTCAGCTTTTGTTAGCAATTACATTGAATGTTAGAGCTAGCGTACATATATGTCGCGTGCTAAAACACAGTGAAACCATAAATACGTGAACGTTTCGTACCCAAACAGTGATATACGTCGACTACGTGTTATAACATTTAATGCAGTAGTAAGATGGACTGAAAACTCACCCATACGGCGGACACGTGGAGCCGGTAGACAGAGGACGAATCTGGAGGAACATGTCCAGGCAAGCTCTCCATCCTTCAACGCTATTGGTCGAATGTGTTTGGCGTCGCGGTGACCGCATCAAGCTCTGATTGGCTGCTACTATTAGCGTCACTTCGTTCCAATCACATTGAACGCGCCAAAGTATTTCGAGTTTAAAATAGACGGAGTTCATCTGCACAAATATGACCGCTCATTCATTCGGACACAGCAGACCATTCAGATATATCAGTATACAAATGACTCGTGTGAGCGTAAACGTTAATCACCCTATACTTTTAAAAGTGTCTCTGTATTTCCTCATTTGTAAAACACTTTGAATGGCAGCAGTGTAGGTGCTATACAAATAAACTTGCCTTGCCTTGCCATATTAAAACCTGATATATGGTCATATATACACATATCAAATTATATGTACATCTATGTTGTGCACATACGTGTAAGTTTCAAATATTGGACATATACATAGATCATACATATATGTCTGATACGTGGTTGAACAGATCACAGTACATTTGTAATCGCTGTGTTATGAATAGCTGTGTCATGAATAGCTGCGTCATGTTTGCTGTATGTTTGTGTCAGGGAAAAATAATTTCATTTATGTCATGTTTTCATGATTTTATTGCTTACAATGTACATGTTTTTAGAGTTTCGTTATGTTGCTACTCCTTTAGATGCATAAAAACCTATTCTATAGCATGAAGCATATATGAGTAATACATACCCACTGTTTATGAATCTTTTTTCTATTATATTATATATTGTTAAATATATGTGTTACACATATATGTTTGTATATGTTGATATATGGCGGAAATATATGTCCCATATTTGAAAATGGACTATGTCAAATAAGTTCATATATATCTCCTATATGAACATATGTGACAAATTAAAGCTGGTAATAAATATGTCACAAATTTGAAAGCCATATACTTTCTTAATCACATTTCTGTATGGGATGTGCTAATGTAACTGAGAAAGGGCTACACATGTATGTGCAGATGGGAGGGGGTGCCTGAAAAAATGTAAAAACAGGGAAAACAGCAGGCTGTTATGTATGGATAAATGAAGCTGTTTTCTGTTGTTAATGCATGTGTTATGATCAGAAATGGATAAAAATTATTGGAACGCAAGGTAACTTTAAAAACATCTAAACAAAACATGTGTGACAATTAGGCTGTTCTTTAGAGCTAAATAAAGGTGTTCTATGTGGTTAAGTGAATATTGTTCAAATAATCCAAAAAATATTTCTCTGTTATTAGTGCATGTGTAATTATCTGAGACAAACTCAATGGCTATTTATGCAGATGGTGTTTTTTAATCCATAATCTGTTTTAATACGCCTACATGTGTGTAAAGAGAGAGGAGGTAACAATTTCTACAGTCAGGAAATCGAATAAACATTAGGCTGTGTAACTGAAGAGATTCATTCTAAAATGCTGTAATTCATGCATTCATAACAGCTGATGTATAATGGAAAACACAAACTCTATATCTCTCTAATAATGGTAGTATTCATAATATAGCATAGGTGTTTCTTGTTTGCATAAAGCCCTCTCCCAACAATGTAAACCATGAAAAAAGTTCTTGAAATTCTTGGAAGTGGTCTATAATGTGTTTGGAGTGAAATCCTTCCATTGTAAACAGAATCTACCTGATTCCTACATCCCACAATGCTTTGAGAAATTTAAGGACAGAACTTCCTGCAAAGTGTAAACAATCTGTATTTATTAAATGTTAACAACATTCTAACATGATAAAACATGAGAATAAATAAAACTGTAAATAATCTTTATTACTAGGATGCTTAAATGCTTCATGCTGATGTAACTGATCTGGCAAGAAACCTGAACCGGCATGAGAGAAACACTTTAATCAGAAGATTCTATTCACAGCCATAAAACCAAAGCGATGCCATTATTTAGCAATGATTTCATGTAAAATCTGTTAATTCACTGTTTTTTAAACCAGTGCTTAGATATGGTATGTTAGTGCCAAGCTAGCAGGGTAACTTCAGTATCATGTGATTTTGATGTCTGCTCTAGGTTAAAGACAAAGCTTGTAACAGGCATGTAAGAAACATGTTCTTACCGATTATTATTCTTATGCTTTTATCTCAGTTTTTAAGTAGGTCTTTATGTGAAGGCCTTTGATCCTCCCCATATGAACATTAAATGTTAATCTTTCTGCTAACCTGCTAAGCCTACTCTAATGGGCAGGGGCATCGCCTGACAAAGGCCTCTGGTCTGACGAAATAGTTTGATGCTGTCAAGATCTGACATGAGACTCTTGGAGCTTCAGTTTCTTACATGCAAAACTGAAAATGTTAAAAGCTGACGTAGAAAAAAGTAGACACCATAGAAACGTTTGTTTTAGCCTAGCAACCTGCTATTTAATTCAGCATTTAGTAGATGTGTTTAATAGGTCAAAGGGCCAAGGAGAGGTTTATAAATTATTGTAAAATCTACTGCATGAAAAAAACTCAAGCCTGATTCTGTACCTGAAAAATCGGCCCAAAACTAAATGTTTTATTGGACGCTGCTGGGCTCAGGCAAAGTCCTTTATGGGTCTTCTACAGAAACGTCCACTTTTCTATCTATCCATAAGAGTCACTGGTGTTACCAATCCTCACTGGTGTTAAACATAAAAAAAGGTAACACCACTGACATTTGTAATGAAAAATGCCGCTACAGAACATCAAACCACATGTTGTCAATCATGGAATATCCACTAAAATATGTAATTTAATCCATTTAATCCTCTTTTTTTTTTACAATTACCTAAGAATAAAGTAGGTCACACCAGTGACTTCAACTAAAAGCTTCGTATGAAATCATGAGCTAAATGAGAAAATTTCTGATAACTGAAAAGACACAGTGGACTTACCATGTGCTTTTCTTCATAGATCTTCAAAAAATAGGTAAAAGGAAGTCAAATGATGTCATCAGTGTGATTTTTATTTCAAACTAAGAGATTTTTTGTTATGCGGTAACACCAGTGACACAACTCCTGGGGGCCACAACTTTCATTATATATTTCATAATATTTATTTGGCATTTGTTTTCTTTATGTCATTTAATTCATATATTTCATAGTCATGTACAGATTATTATTTAGAAAGAGGTAATTTTCATGCTCTGTCTTACTCAGAAGCAGATAATACAAATCTTTAGAATCTACAAACTCTGCTTACTGAAATCAATATGGTTTGGGGACAAGACCACTATGGCTTGGTGCAGATTTACTGATGCATTATTGAACATATCCAACAGGGGGAGTAGTCAGCGAGTTTCAGTTTTGATAAATTACTGCTGAGAAATTCAGATTTATTGATGTAATAATAAGATGACCAACAGGGGTAGTCAGCGTGGTCAAATATTATTTTCTGCATAGTCATATTCTTTTTTACATATAGACACATATAGAGAATAAAGGGGCTGTACCAATACAGTGCAAATGCAATAATATTTACAACTATGTTTTCATACGGGTTCTGTCTGAAAAACCTTGTATCTCCAAAATGGCAACTCCTCAGAAGAAGGAAAAACCATTATGTACTTTAAATAGAACTTTTAATGCATTCATTATGAAACGTTTACACAATATACTGTGTATATATTTGAAATGGGAAATTTAAAGATATTACTGTGGATCTTGTGTGCCTGAGAACATTAGCTGGATCCACACTGGCTCCCTACCCAGTCTTGTGCTATGTATACACTACACTATACAAATTAGTGTTTGCCCTGCTCCCACTGATTACTTCCAAGGATTTTTGTGAGCCAAAAATGTAACTTTTAAGATATCAATTAAGCTTTTATTGCTGTTTACAGGAGATAATGGAATGAGTTCATTCAGCTAATCTGACATATAATTATGCTGACTATATTAATGCTACAGTATATTTCGTAGTTAGATGAGTATTCTCTCAGCGGCCTACGTGCAGTGCAACCAGCGCTCATATTTACCTTTGAGCAGGAGAGGGTGTGTAAAGCACAGTGGCCTAGTTTATGGCAATTCTAACATTGGACTGTGCAGATAAGACTAGAGTTTCTTAACAGGAAGTGTATGTCATCCAGTAAATGTGACTATCAAGTATCATAGTTACACACTATGACAAGGTTTTTCTTCATGATATGGAGGTGGCTGAGCCAATTACCATACAACGTGTCTTGTAGGACCTTAACCCTTAGGATACTGACATTAACCCTTAATATGCCAGCATTAACCCTCAATATGCCAGTGTTAACCCTTAAGATATCAACATTAACCCTTAATATACCAACCAAAACCCTTAATATGCCAGTGTTAACCCTCAAGATATCAACATTAACCCTTAAGATACCAACCAAAACCCTCAATATGCCAGCACTAACACTTAAGACATCAACATTAACCCTTAAGATACCAAGTTTTCCCTTTAGAATAGTTACGTTCTTTGCTGTTAGATGACGTTTGAACAATACATTTCTAATTAGAAGGTGGAGAAATGGAGAAGACCCACTACCAGTTGGGAGCAGCCAGCGTGGGTTAGGAACTGCAGAACAGACAGGGTGGGCTGAAGGCCTGCTTTGTCTTTCTCAGAAGAAAAGCCTCTGCAGATGGACAGATATAGAGTACAATATGATTCATTAATGCATGTGACTTTCTTCCAATGCTTTAAGCTGTGTTTATTGCTCAAGTGGTCAAAACAAGACATGCATATGGTTTCCATATGAACATATTTAATCAAAATGCTGGGAGAGGTTTATATTAAGATATTTGACTACTTCATTAATTTGTTCCTGTTTTTGTATGCATCTTTGTATCTGCCTATTTCTGATGGAAAGCTTCAATTTTAGCTGTTGTTTTTTTTTTAAACATAGCATTTTAATTGTAGACATTGTATCTTCTATTGTGTGACAAAAGTCTAGAACAAATAGAAGCTCTTTGACAACGTCAGCAAAAATGTTGGGACTGAAATGACCCATTAGTATATTAAGGGTTAAATCACTATTGAGTCTTTCAAAGTCATGATAAAGTGAAGTCACACCTTCTGCCCTCCAC